GCAAAAATTTTGGCTAATAGATTTTGCAATATTATATACATGATGATCAGACTGGTTTTATATCTGGGAGATACATGAAGAATAATATTAGACAAATCTTGAACTTATTGGAATATTTGGACAAGAATAATCAAGTGCCATCGGCCTTTATTTTTTTGGATGCGGAGAAGGCCTTTGACAAATTGGATTGGCAGTTTTTAAACAAAATACTGGACTATATGAATTTTGGAGATCAATTTAAGACAGCCATAAAAGCAATATATCAAAAACAATCTGCTCAAATAATTATTAATGGAGACTTGACAGAACCTATAGAAATACAAAAAGGCACCAGACAAGGTTGTCCACTTTCTCCACTACTATTTGTATTGTCTTTAGAAATTTTGTTGTCTAGAATTAGAGAATCACCAATGATTAAAGGCTTAAAGATTTCTACTAAAGAATACAAACTTAAAGCTTTTGCTGATGATTTAGTTTTTACATTAACACAACCAATCAAATCACTGAAACTTTTGCTACAAGAATTACATCAATATGGTAAAGTGGCTGGATTTAAAATTAATGTGAATAAGACTAAAATTCTTACAAAGAATATGATTGTTAGGGATAAAGATCAACTTATGCAGATGTCAGGATTTGAAGTGGTTAACAAAGTTAAATATTTGGGAATTTTTTTGTCATCATCCAATGCGAAACTTTACCAGAACAATTATGAAAGACTGTGGAAATTGGTACAAAAGGACTTATCATCGTGGAAAAAACTACAGCTTTCGTTGCTGGGTCGTATAGCGGCTATTAAAATGACTATTTTGCCTAAGTTTCTCTTTTTATTTCAGATGATACCTATTTTAAAGAATGAAACTAACTTGAAGGAATGGCAAAGAGATTTGAATCGTTTTATTTGGGAAGGCAAGAAGGCGAGAGTTAAATTTAAGATTATTCAAGACACTAGAGAACGTGGAGGACTTAAAGTACCAAATTTGACGCTTTATTATGACTCTTGTGCATTAACTTGGATGACTGATTGGATCAACTTGTCTAACAAAAGGATTTTGAATGTCGAAGGTTGGGNGCTCTATGGTTGTCATAGAATTCCATTGCTATCTATATCTTTTCATGTCCCAATAGATTAAAATCCCTTCTGGAATCAGCCATCTGAAATTCACTCCTTTTTCAATTAATTTTCTAGTTAGAAACTAGTATTCTCTTCGGGATTCTCTTATTTTCCTAGGGACTTGTTTGAGAACTATAGTTTCTTTTTCTTTGTATTTCAAAAGTTCATCTCTTACTCTTCTCAAAATCTCATTTCTTATGGATCTTTTAAGAAATCTAACATGTACTTCTCTGGGGACTTTATTTCTTCTAGCGTAGTTTGAGTTGACTTGATAGATCCGATCTAATTCTCCTTCCAATTCCAATTCCTAATGCGTCTGCCAATAATTCTGTTATCAGGTCTGTTATCAGGTCTCTTCCTTATGTTCCATTATATTTTGAAATCCTAAAAAGTATGAGGCCTTTTTCATTTCCATGACAGCTATCGAGTCTTCTAGTTCTCCATTTATTTGCATCAATTTCTGGTTTTCATCTTTAAGACTTCTAATTTCTGGTCAACCTCAATTGATTTATCTTCTATTTTTTTGAATTCTTTGTTGGTTATTTGTAACCATCTGTTTGAAATTTTCAAATTGAGAGTCCATGTTATTAATTTTTTAGTTCATTTTATCAAAATCACTTTTTATCTCCTCATGGTTTCTCGTTGTAGTTGCCATGTGAATAGCAATTGCCTCTTGAATTGCTTGTAGTATCGCTTGCATTTTCTTTTGGAAGTTATTAGCCATTTCTTGTTGGAGCATTGTATCAATTGATCTCTGATAAACTGGACTTGCAAAAGCAAAGGAGGGAACAGAAGTTACTTTTTTCCAGCTTTAGATAGATTTGGGACACTCATCTTTATCTTTTTATCATATTTTATAATCCACCAAGTAAATCAGAATTTGTAATCCAATAGGCTCCTAACAAATAGGAGAGGTAAATAGTGAAAATTAATAGATAATAAAAAAGGGAAAAAAGGAAAAAATATACCAAAATTTGTAATCCAAAGTGTAGAAGTTTCTTGTTATGCACTCTGTCAAAACAGCTTGTAAAAATTCCAGGTCAAGCTGTATTTGTAATCCAGGGAAGTCAGATGACTTCAAAACGACATTTATTTATAATTGTAATCCATCCTGTAAAAAAGGGCAATCCAAAAAGATGCTTCTCTTTTCCAGCCACAATCTCCAGGATTGTAGATTCCAAGGACATCAAAAAGTTTAAACTATAAGCTGTGTCTGGGCATCTAGCCAAGTTTTAGGGCTCCAGTCAAAACAGCTTGATAAGGTTAAAAATGCAAGGTTAAATGTAGTACTTAGTTTTGCCACTAGATGTCATTAAATGTCCATTCCCACCAAACTTTTAAAAGTTTAGAAAATTAAAATCCAATGGTTTCCAAACAAGGAATAAAAAAAAAGATTTATAAATGCAAAAGTTTCCCCAAATATCCTTCTTCTATCCCTCAATTGTCTTCACAATGTTATTATAAGTCAGTTTTAATTTCCCCCAAAGCTTAAACCTCTACTTATAGTTCAGAAGGGAGGGATAGAGAAAAAATCCCCCCCTCCCTAAAGCTTGGGGATTTCTTGCTTTTGGGAGCTTTTTCCAGAACCGGTATTTTGTAGAAAGGTAAGGAAAGTAGTCTCACCCAGATCAGCTGTTTTGCTTTCCGCTTGTTTGTGTTCGTTGTCTCCAACGATCAGCAGCTTCTGACTGACCTCATGGGTGCAGTCAGCCTTTCTTCCTGCCGGTCTCGAGGGCTTCTTTGGATCAAGCAGGTTAGCTACTGCTGATCCGTGATCTACAAAGCTTCGCTCTTTGGCCAGTTGCCTCTATGGGGCAACTTTCGGTCCTGTTGGACTCCCCCCCCCAGTGGCTAGAAATTGGATCTGGGGAATGGAGCCTCGTTCCCCTGTGCTCATGTTGCCACGATGTCACTGAAAACCTCCCAGGAAATTCCAAGATTTCTAAGTTCTTTGCACCTGGGAGTAATGGAGCTATAGGTTTCAATTACTGGAAACAGGAAAATAACTCTTTTATACCACATAGCTTCTAGTAGTTTATAAGACTGAGGGAGAATTTCTGGTTCTGCAAAGTCTTTATTTTAAATCAGTGCTATGATTCCTGGGCTGTATTTTTCTCCTGAAGACCTGATTATTCCAAACTAAATAATAATGATAAAGAATAAATATCATTGACAAAATCATGATCAATCAATTGCAAAAGGCAGTTTTACTTGGAACAGTTTATATCCTGTGATGATACCTTTAATACCATCAAAGAACAACATCTGCCTCTCCCAGGTGTTTGGGAAGGACTTGATAGGTGGATAAAAATACCAGATCCAGTCTAAACATCTGTGGAACCAACCATGATAATAATATAGTAAACCTATATGCCTCCTGAATTTCAATTACTCTAACTGGCTATGTGATACTATATAAATGGCTTGTGCATGATATAAAGACTGTGGCTCCCTAAAAATATGGCATTGTCTCCTGGAGGGAGGTTTATGGACCATACTGAGAACCCTTGAATTAAAATCACCCTGTAGATTGCCAAGTTTATGAAAGAAATATACAAAATTAATAACTAGTTCCTGAAATAAATCATGGCTATATGGAAAAAATGGCAAGGCAGTTTGTATTTCATCATGACTCCTATTGCTAGACATTTTTGTCCTTCTCTTGGAAAGTAAACATTAAAAATAAATCACAGAGGAGAAAAATATATAAAACTTCTGGAACTTCCTGGAACTTTATAGCTTTGATCAGAATTTGCTTAGAATTCACTAACCAAATATGTGTTCTCAAGAACAAAACAAACAAAACCCACATGAGACTCATTTTTTTTCCAGTTTGGGAAAATGCCCACAGAATTTATTTTACAGGCAGAAATTGGAAGAACAATATCAACCTCCCATGTTCAGTTATAGAAGAACACATAAAATGTGTAAAAACTAATGTGAAAACTATTATGGAGAAAAAAGAAGTGCTTTAATGGTGCAATTATGATGCAACTCTACTCCATAAAATAGCCATCCACACAGAAACAAAACAACTATAAAGCAGTATCTCCATTGCTAACAACTCTTTAAAGATATTATGATGTAGAGTACTAAAAGCATTGAGAAGTCCAAGAGGACTATCTAGGTTGTACCCTGCTATGTCTCACTCTTAGCAAAGAAAGGAAGGACAACTATGGCAGTTTCTACCCCCAATCTCACTTTAAACGACATTGAAATGTATTCAGAAAAGTCATCATTAAAAATGCTTCTCTCCAATATATTCTCAAGCAAAGAAGAGGTTAGCAACCATCCTGTAATGTTTCTCCACTTCTAGCTAGTTTTTGCAATGGAAAGTACTACCTTTTTTACTCTTAGGGGGAAAAAAGCTTCCAGGTCTCACCAATTGGTATTGTAGAACTGAGTGTAAGAACTCAGTTTGCAATATTAAGGTAGTCAGTTGAACCTGAAAAGTTATCAACATAATTGGGTCTCAAGAACTGGAATGCATCCAAGACAAATTAGACTCATTAATGTTTGGTCCTTTACTAATAGTATGAAGTCAATTGTGATGTCCATACCGCTAGATATGAAAAAATGAGTGACTATCAATTTCTGTTTTGATAAAGGTTGAAGAAGAGAAGAAATCTATAACAGTAATGGTGCAAATAGGCTTTAAAACAAAACAAGTTTTAAACATTTCCATGCTTTTTATGAAAATGTTTGAAATTATTATTGAGTTGCCTGAATAGAATTGCTCGCTCTCATGAGGCAGCATTATGCTCAGATCAGATGAAAGAAACAGCATGAAATGAAAATCCTACTTGTAAAGAGTTTATTCATTAAGAAAACTAAACTTTTGAAAGAATTATAAGTCAAAAAATTAATAAAATATTTAATTTTACAGGGTTTTCCAGGGCCACCTGGACCTCCAGGTGAGAAGGTAAGATTGGCTTCTTTGGCATTTTTATTCAGTATAAATTAGTTGGAAAAATAATGAAAGTACAAGTATTTATTTAAATATTTTCTAGACATTGATGGACAAAACAATCTAAATTAACTGAATAACACTACACATAATCTGTGATACATACATGCTAAAAAAAAAAAGCAGGAAAAAGAAAATGAATAGACATGTATAATCCAAGACTGAGTACTTCAAGAAAAAGTGACTCCTTTGCTTAAAAATGCTTTGTCTTGCTACGACTGCCTCTTCTAACATGGCCAGTAACTTACTAATTTTGGGACATGGTGAACGAGGCAGCTAAAACAATGTGAAGTAGAGCAACATAGTTATCCGCTTCATTCTTGAGAAGCAGAATCCACTTTGCTTGGCAAAGCAGCTTTGAAATGGGGTTGTGGTCAAAGCAAAGAACCCCTTTGAAGCAATGTATGGTCCTATGGGAGTTCACATGCCATAAGCTGCCAAAGAAAAGTATTCAGTATTCAAATTAGTAGAGGTGCACTAGCAAATGTAACAATTACAATATACTTTTCAAAGTAGGGATAAATATTTGATATTGTCTCTTCTATAGCAGTTATTTTGAATAATGAAAATTAAAAATACAACAATGAAGTATTTCTAAAACAAAGTGTTTGTTGCTAAAATGCCACATATTTTTATAAGAGTTATTTGAACCTGGGCTTGAGCAGCATGGTGGCCTAGAGGTGGATCTCTCAGTTCACAGTCAGGAGGCTATGAATTCGATCCTAGGAAGTGGCAGATATTTCTCTCTCTGGGCACAAAGAGAAAATATCTGCTGTGAGCTCTGCATAGGCATCAGGAAAGGCATCCGATATTTAAATGCTCAGCTCCATTCAATCGCCTCGACTCCACCCTGATGCAAGGGATTACCGGGTCTTTAAAAGGAAAAAAATTGAACCTTATCTTGCCCTTGAAAAGGAAATAAGAGTAATTCAGGGTTTGCTTGTAGTGGAGTTTAAGGAGGACAGTGATGGCAGCTTTAGGAGAGTATTAGGCACATTCATCATCATCATCATAATAATCTTTATTGATTAGCCCTTGGGCCATATCAAAGTGCAACGTTCCAGCAACAAATCATTACCAAAGTCTGATAAAAGCAATTTAAAATAAAATTTGATAAAATACAGTTTAAAATGGAACTAGAGTAAAATATGACTTAAGATGAAATTGGAGTAAAATACAGGTGGATATTAAACTTACTGATTCTGGAGGCTGTACCTTACCTCCGGGATCAGAGGCATCAGAAAAAAGGAGGAGAGAACTCTTGCCACCTTGGGTTTCCCAGAGGCATTTTCCGGCTTTGACTACAGCAGGAAAAATATTGTGGGTTAAACCTGAAGAACAGTTTTATTCATTAAAAAATGCCCCCAAAGTATATTTGCAAAAAATACTTACTTCAAAGGTGATTTTTATTTTATCAACTGCCTCTTGTTTGTATCACCAGGGTCATATGGGCTTGAATTTCCAAGGTCCAAAAGGGGATAAGGTAAGGTTGCTCATTTGAAAGTCACAAGCACGGGCAACGGACTGGCTTCTCTACAGCTCCAGGGTCCTCTGTTTTACCTCTTGTTTAATCTCTGAACTAATTACTGAAAGAAACTTACACAAATTCAGAAAAAAACTGTCATGGAATCCATTATTACTGAATGTTAGCCAGCCACATGAAAGTGTTTTTTTAAAAAAATGCACCAAGAAAGTGTTTTTTTTAAAAATGCACCAAGAACAGGGATAACTCGGCAGCATTTGACTGTGCATTGCCTTCATGGCTATGGAGATTTGGTTATCTCTGAGTGGTCAGTAAGAGAGAGATTACAGAGTTACTACAACTAGAATTAGGCTGCACTATAAAAGTCAATAAGCTGGGGAGTCAAGCTTATGCTATTGGATGTATAAGCAGGTTTTAGGGCCAGTTGCTGCTCTGGCTCTTCTTGGGTTTAAACGTACTCCTCAATTTTAAATACAAAATTTAATTACAATAACGCCTCTCCAGTTACAGCTAAACAAGGGTAAATTCTGACAGGATTCTTTCTTTGAGAATAAGTTTTTAAAGTTTTTAATGTATTCATAAACTATTTCAACACAGGGGTTAAGATGGGGTAGTTAAAAACCAAAAGTATTCTGAACAGCTCCAAAAAGATGTTCAAACTGACTAACTTGTCAGCCAAATGGTAAATGCAGTTCAGTTTAAATAAGCACAAAGTGATGAATATTGAGGCCAAACTCCCTAAGTTCAGATGCATACATATATACATTATCATAGAAGAGAGCAATCAAAATAATAAAAGGAGCTCAAGCAATTTTTCTGTATCAAAAAGGCAAAATGTTTGGATCACTTTAGTTTGCGGGGAAAAGTAGCTAAGGGGAGATTTGATGACATGCATGCTAACATGGAGCATGGAGAAAGTGGGCAGGGAGAAATACTCTTCAAAATGCTATAGCCAGCAACCATTTAAGAAAGATTTAAAACATCTACTGCATGTACACATGTGCGTGCACACGTGCAGAGAGAGAGAGAGAGAGAGAGAGAGAGAGAGAGAGAGAGAGAGAGAGAGAGAGAGAGGGAGGGAGGGGGAGAGAGAGAGAGAGAGAGATGGTCTTAGCCAAAAGGCCAAGAAGCCAAAGGAATTGTTTCTTCATGCAGCACCTAATTAACCCATGTCACTGAAGTGGATGTGATTTAAATGTTGTGTCCTGGGGGTATGTGTGAGGGTTGGGAAGCTTAAAGAAATTTTAACCTTTTGGGGGGCAGATTCAAGGATTGTGAAGGAATGAAAGGCATGTCTTAAGATTCTGTGATGTTTAAAATACCAAAGTTCCATTACATCTTGTGTCAATATAATTTTCTTTTCCTTTTGTATCAATTAAAGTTAGTAACCCAATGTGTAGGGGAACTAGGAATATTCATGAAATTACATTTTGACTAATTACTTGCATTGATTTTGGAGAAAAGTATTGATCCATCATATAGTTTCTAATATTGAAACATCTGTCTCCATCTGTGTGATCTGAGACAGCTGATCTACAAGCTCTATGTGAATCAAGTATTGCAGAAAATACAGTATATTTAAGAAACTTTTAAACAGTTTCATTATTTATGGAGATTGCATTGTCTTTTGATATGTGTTATCTCCTGAAATGATGGGACTGGACAGAGATAATTTAATCTTTAAAAATTATGAGTATATCTAATTTGCTCAAAGAAGATTAACTTAAAAGCAATACAACATTTGAAATGAACAGTTATTAAAATGATGTATTTCCCCAAGTTTTTTAAACTAAGTAAACTACAATGCCTTTTGCTGATTCATTTGCCAATTTGTTTATTGGGGATATTTGCAGGGTGAGCATGGTGTCATGGGCCCTCCTGGTCCCCAAGGAGTAGATACATGGCATGAAGAGAAAGGGACCATCATCATACAGGGAGACAAAGTAAATATGCACTTCTTATTTCTTTTCATTACATTGTTTTTAGAAGCTGCCACTTATGATGAGGATTAATGACAAAATAAAAATATAAATAAACAATGTGAGCACCAACTATTTTCTGTCTATGTTTATTTGTAAATTTTCTTCAGAACACTTGCTCATTTTCAACTTGGGCTTTGTAAAATAAGGAAAGCATTGTAAAAGGCCAAATTAGCCATTCCAGTTATAAGGAATGCTGTGGGCTGTAGGTTAGAAAAATCATAGTACAGATTAAAACCAACAAAGCTGATATCAATTAAATGTCTAAATCTGTTACTATATTGCAAAGTAAAAAAAGGGTTTCCCCCCCCTTATGTTCAGCTTCAAAAGTGACTTGAGATTCAATTGTGCCCTGAAGTTGCTCAATATGTTGTCCAGTTCAGAAAAACTGCTCACTCAGAGTTTAATGCTTAGCAAATCTATGTTACATTTAACAGTTTATAATAACCAGATATGTTACACGGTTGACATTTCGGGGGGGGGGGAAAGGGCACAAAATTATGGTTATCTAAATTTGGAAAATGCATTTTGTAGACATCATTGGTGCTCTGCTATAGTAATTGGCTGTTTGTTTTTTAAATTCTAATAGGGTGATCCTGGTGAAAAAGGTGAAGATGGATTACCAGTAAGTGTAAACCTTTCAACCCACATTCACACACACAAAATGAAACCAAATTTCAGGTTTCCTAAAATACAAAAAGAAAAAAAAATCCCTGGGAAAAAGGAAACGAAAAACAAGGGTTGGAAATTTATCTCATGAACAAAAACTCCAAAATCAGATGGCTTAAAAAACCACTTATTTGCTTCTCCATCAAAATAAAACAAAACAAAAAACAAAGTAGCAAAAATAATTCAATTTCAATGTTGACTCACCACATACTGTATATCAGCAATCCATTGCTGCAAGGCAAGTATAGATTCACCCTTCTGATATTGTATTAAAATGTTTTTATCCTGTCCCTATGCAGGAAAATGCTACAGTTCTGATGTCTTGATAGACTCCATGTGTTAGGAACATTAGCCAAGCAAAATATTTGTGTTCTTAACTAATAGTGATCAAGCTAAGGTCATGTTAACAACTGTTTTAATTCCAGCCTCAAACGTGGCAATGGTAGGACAAGTTAAAACTATATGAAATAACATTGCAACTTCTGAATAACAGCATGCAAACCTTATTAAACATTTTCTGAAGTATCCTATACCCATAAAATTTTCTGTTTTATTAATCTAATTTTAAGATCAAAATAAATGAATTTTACATTCTTTAATGGGAACTTCCGTTGATTTACAAGACAGAGTATTCAAGCTTATTATTCTAAAGTTTGTGTAACTAATCAGTGCCAGTTGCATGAACTTCTTTCAACTACTCATAATAAAACAAGTTTTCCATTTTAGGATCTTGAAATAAATATTTCAAAGGCTGTAGTGGTCATGGAGCTTTAGAGGGGTGATGCTTCTGGAGCAAATAACCCAAATCAAAATCAAACGTTAATTTTAAATTCTACAACAGCTATAAAAATAGCTTTATCTAAACATAGCTGGTTTTATCCAGTGTTTCTATCAGTCTCTGGTTGTCTGTCCATTGTCATTAAGTGCCAATATCAAAATTAATCCCAGAACAAAAAAGGATATCAGTACCTGCTTGATCGCAAAATAGTTTTCAAGTTGAATCCAAAGTTGGGTTGAATTCTGAAATTCTATATTTCAATCAATAAATAAATTTTATTTTTGATTTTAAAGTTAATAACAGCAACTTTATTATTGTCACTAATATTATTGTCAGTAATCAATTAATGAAAATGCCCTTTAGTTAATTAAGTAACTGGGGTCATAAAAAGAAAACAAAACCAAAAAACCCCAAAGAAGCATTATCCACCATCAAGAAAGTCTTGCTGCGTGATTCACTGAAGATGTAAGAAGAGTGAAGTCATCAACACACAGTAGCCATGCTTGCATACCATCTGTTCTCTAGTTGCCTATCAGTTGTTTCCTTGCCAAGTGTTCCTTAGTAAAGTAAATTAAGGGTCATTCCAGAGTCCCAATAACTGGAGAGAATTCCCAGAAACAACAGTATCAACAACTCTTCTGTGGCTGATCAATAACGAGACTAAAGCATCATCAGAATCACCAGAATTTCTGAATTCTGAACATCTTAATTGGTCCTCCAGCTTCATAGAGAACGTTAGCTACACCAGTAGAAATCTCATGACTGATTACATGATCAATTCTAAGCCATCTATAATGGTCTGTGAGAATAGCCTTGCAAGACAAAAGGGAGAGTCACAGTCTAGACAATGGTCTAATAAATAAAATCTGAGTCCTAAGGAGAAATGAGAATAGAGAAAGTTTCTCAGAAGTGTCAGCCTTCCTTGGTAAACCAGACAGAAAACAAGACCAAATGAGCTAATTCTACTTTATTATAAGACTACATTAACCAAATCTTGCAAATCTGAAAGTACAAATCTCCTGCCCTCACTTTAAGAAACTGACCAATCAGAGCAGGTCCTTCCTAGGTTTCTTTCCCTGACCATTAAGCTAATGGGCACTCTTTCTTTGATTATTTGATTGTTCCCTAAGGAGGATCTCTTCTATGCACCCCTCAATATCATTCCCACACACCATTACAGAAGGGACCCTCCCTAGTTCTCTGGGAAGTACAGGCAGGGGAGATGGAAAGTGTTTTCAGTTTTGCAAAAGTGTGTTAGTGTAAACTTACAATAAAGGTAAAGTAGCATTTATTCTCATGAATCTTTTGATTTCCAGTCTGGAATACCTTGAATGGCTGACACCAGCCTATCCCATAGTAGCTATAAAGTCTTGAGCCAGACTGAGGGGCTGATCTTTGCATGAAAGCCTTAGGATTTCCCAAGATCATACTACAGGTATTTTTGCCAGCTCACGCAGGAAAGAAATTGTGGAGTGGAGAATATACCAACAAGATTGCTACTGTTGTTCTGCAACCCAGCACCAGGTAAACTGTTCATAACAAACCAACCAATGATTGATTTCCTGGTGAGACAATTAGAATTCTGATTACATAATCCCTGCACCAGGAATCCCTACAATGCTGCTTTGTCAAATATTGGAAGAGGCACAGCTGGGTCACCATTTGCAACTCTCCAATGCAGGTTTCAAATGTGCAAACTAGATTGATCTTTTCATCTATGATCATATCAAAGAGGGGTGATAATTTCAACTGATCTGGCATTGACTAACAACTCCATGAGGTGAGAGATCAGATTGGCATAGCAACTAAAGAGTTACTGATGGGAAACTGCAATACAAGGAACAACCACCAGCCATATCTGTCTCTTTGATGGTCTGATCCTTGCCCCACCATTCCTGCTGGCTTTCCCACAGGTTTTCTGAGGAGAGTATATCTGGATTCTCCCTCTTGCAACTTTTCAGCCAAGCACATATTTTCACCAGGACCAAAAATACTGTTCAAGATGGCACAGTCAAGGATTTCTGTCTCTCAGACAACAAAGTAGAAAACCAGTACAATGTATACTGAGCAAATATGTACAAAAGAAACCTGACTAGGAATTCTTCTCCAATAATCCACCTCCTCTACTTCTACAACCTTTCCTTTGGGATGCCATCTCTGAACTCTTATTCTAGGTCAGTGTTCCTCAATCTTAGCAACTTTAAGAAGTGTGGACTTCAACTCCCAGAATTCTCCAACTAGCATCATGTCCACACATCTTAAAGTTGCTAAGATAAAGAAATACCATTCTAGGTTCTAGCTACCTTCTGCCTCTTCTGCCTCTCATTCAAGCAACAAAATTCTTATATTGAACAAAGTTGAGCAGGATAAGGTGCAGAAGGATTCTGGCTCTGAAGATCAAATTGAAGAGGCAAATAGGAAATGGGCAGGTGCTACATGATTATTGATAGGAGCTCTTCATGGAATCACATCCCTCTTGCATGTCCCACTAGCTTTTTTTGCCCATACCTTCATGGATAATCTATATACCCAGTATTGTCTTACTTTGCTTAATAGGCTAGTTCTGCTGAGGAGAACCCCAACAGGCCTCTCTTGTGTTCTGTTCTCTTTAAAAAAAAGTATTCTATTAAATACTTTTGAAAAAAGTACTGATTAAAAAGAATCCATAGAATCTATTAAAAGAAAAAAGTTGCATTTGCTTTTATAAACAATTTTTTATTTTATTCAAAACATTAAAATACAAACTTTAAAAAAAGAAAAAAATACAAAAACAAAACAAAGCTAAACAAGACTACACCAAAAAAGTGCATAAATAAACCAAACCAAAATAGACATATACATAAATTGCTCCTCCTATTGAATACTGATAAATATATTTCAAAGATAATAACTTCTCCCCCCTTGCGAAGTAGGCACACAATTTGTAAATTTCTACAACACTACTTACCAACTCACTTAGCCTGACATCTATTTAGTATATGAAAATATAGTTAAGAGGTAAAACCAATAGCTAAATCAAACTTCCAGACCCTCTGTCAACAATCCATGTATTGCATTTCACTCACAAAAGTCCACAATGGCTTCTGGTCTACAAAAAGTGACCACAATCATTGTCTTTGGTCCATCCAGGATCAAATATCAATCAATCAGAATAGAGCTAGAAGGGACCTTGGAGGTCTTCTAGTTCAACCCCTGCTCAGGCAGTAGATCCTATACCATTTCAGACAAGTGATTGTCCAGTTTCTTCTTAAAAACCTTCTTAAAAATATATTCGATTAAAAACTCTTCTTAAAAATATCTTTGATTGATTCTTAATAGTCTTTTCTTTAAAATATTAAACAGAATCTTTTCTAACAATTGTATTCTATTCCCCAGTCACAAGTCTTTGTTGTGTATATCTACACAGCATTTGTTATACAAAAAAGTCTCCTATAAATTGTAAGATAGCATCTCCTAACATTTGTTTTCAAATTGGGTATAATAAAACCATTCCCCAGTCTCCCTCAATCTGCTTAGAAAAGTCAAATTCATCACTAGTTGTTCTGTCAACCTTGACTCTTTAGAATCCATATCTTTCTCTGAGTCCCCTAACCAACTTGTATTTTCCCAGTCAGCCTCATCTTTCAGGGTTGCAAACAGCAAGTTACATTCCAATCCATCTGGTTGAAAATCTTGTTGTAGCACTGTTACTTGTATCTGTTTACCATCTTCTAAAATCATGGTTACTTTATCAAGTTCTTTATCCAAATTTTCAAACTGACCTTGTAAGTTGGAAAATATTCTTTCTGCCTACCTTTTCCAATAAACCTTGTCTTGATATATTGATTGCATTTTGACTATATTTGATATAGTCCAAATTATTTCAGTAGTAAAACTTTTACATCTAGGACCTTTGCAGCAGCCATAAACAGCTCATCCCAAAGAACATAAAAAAGAACCTACTTTAACATCCAGCAGGGGGTTAAATTAAAACAGCATTCAACTGGTAGATTAATGTTTGAAAGTAAAAATCAGAAGAAAGAAAAAATATATCAAAAAGTGCAGTTAAAATCCAGGCATTCTTAAAAAGCAGACAGTGGAAAGGAAAAGATGGAGACTTGATTCCCTGACCACTCCCCTCTAGAACCGTTAGCTTCTAGGTCTTCTTCTCAGGTCGTTCCACAGTCATCATGTTCAGAGTAGTGCAAAAATCCTTATTTTGTTCATGGAACTTATACTGAACATTTAATTTTAATTAACTGTACTAATGCAAAATATCTGCCATCTTTTAAAAGGGGCCACCAGGCCAGAGCATCAAAGAGGAAAAAGGGGAACCTGGGAAACCTGGTCCACGGGTATGTGCATTATTTATTTATTTTTTGCTTATCTAACCATTTAGGTACTTCACCTTAGGGAATTCCACAAATGGGACTGAATTCTTATTTAAATTGTGCATCGTCTTTTGAGGGCTTTGCAATTTCCTGTTTTGTTTTGTTTTTGCTATTTTAAAAATTAATTCTGTAATGATCAAAGGGCTGAACATAAATTTGATGCGAGGGTGTTTTTGTTTTCATGGCAGAAGTCGTTTTGTTATGGTCCCACTGAATTTTTCATTCAGAAAGGAACCATAGAAGAATAAATTAAAGAGGACAAAATATATTAAATGAAGTAGCCATGAATTTCACTGGGGTGCCTGAAAGGATCTTCATCAGTATTTAGTCTTGTGTAAGCTATTTGTTGTAGTTTTATGTTTTGTGAAGTTGCAAGGTAGTAAAGAAAAAAAACACATTGCTTTCCACAAAGAATGATGGAATCTACATAAACAAATAGGAAAGTACCATTTTAGATGGAGTTCCTCATAAAACTCTGGAAAGTCTTCAGCAGAGATGCTTTGCAGTATGCACGAGCAATGCAGAAGCACCTCCTGTCTGTCTGCATCTGAGTGTATCCGCAACACTTCATCTGGCTTGTGTGCACACCCATTGTGGGAACAAGTAGAAGTTGTTGGGTAAAAGTTCGCAAAGCAGCTTTGTGACCTTACAAAAGATTCAGCTGGTTTTAGGGATTTAAGAGAGGTGTTTTATTCATTCCCTTAAATATTTTTATTTGTTACTGTGACCAAAACTACTCAAATGAAAGTTTTTAAAAAAACAAAACAAAAAAGAAATCAGATGTGGGCAAATTTTCCTTGTAAAAATTGTAAAAACTTCCCGTTATACTATAAAACTGACTGATAACCAAAAGAGGATTAAAGAACTTTGAGGCCAGGCTCTGAAGGCACCCCACAATTTCCCCATCAGCCTGATAGGCCCTCCAACGCCCTGGAATGGCAAAAAGGCTTCCCAGATTTTTAAGATACACTTTGATGAAATCGGTGGAAGGTTTTCATTGTTGTCGTTTGCCTATTTGTTACTGATGGGGAATGGCTGAGAAGAAGTTTTAGTTGGGAAGAGAAAGGTGGCTGGCCTTTCAAGAACTGGAGCTTTCTTTGAAAAACATTGCTTGCTAACTGCAATGAGTTTCAGAATAGTGACTGTTGGCATCCTGAAAAGGGTTGAAACTGTGTGAATAAGAGAGTATGTGCCCTTACAATTGCAGTGAGTCTGTTACACAATCCGGCAGAAGTGAGGGAGTAAGTGTACATGTGGCTGTGGAAAAGTGTCCCATGCTCTGTGTTTACAATAGGTTCTGCTAGAGATAGAACTGCCCATAGCCAGTTCTAAATCTGGTCAGATATACTATGTGTATATTTCAGGGGATATTTTCACATCAAAGTGGCTCAGTCACTCTTTTCCAAATAACTCTTTTCCAGATCTATGGAGACAGACTGAATATGTGAAAGAAGGATACTTACATGGAGGAGTAGGAAGTCATCTGGAGGTTCACTAGGATATTAGAGAGCAGGATTAGTTGATGATTCCACAGCATTATTCCCACCATTTTTTCCAAGACTCTGAGAAAGCTTGAAAACACTGATTATTGTGCAGGGAAATATTGTGTGCAGCTCATTAATTCTTCGTTAGTCTCAGCAACCCAATAGTAGAAACAAGAATTCCCATGCTGGCTAAATAAGTAAAATTATTCATTTTTCAGGGAAGGCCTGGAAAAGATGGAGAGGATGGAGAGAAGGGAGAACGTGTATGTAGGTCATTTTACCATAAATATCATATTCATTTTCATATTCATAGAAGATTTGCTGCTGGTAATTCTTAATTTAAAGATAAATACTTATGCATGTCAGTTTTGTAAAAATAACTTCAGACAATCTTTAGCTTTGTTTTGGGAAAGGGGAAGTCATTTACAATGATTGTATACAAAACAGGCCTTTTCTTACTGTGATACCTGCAGGGAGTACCTGGTCAGCCAGGAATTCCTGGACATCCTGGTATACTTGGACCTAAAGTAAGTAATCACCATATAGTAAGTACAATACATCAAATAAATGAGTGTGTGTTGGTAAAGAGGAAGAATCAAGGATGATTCAAGTAGTGATCTTTCAGAATGAAAGGAAGAAAAAAATGCAGCTGATTTCTGAATCATTCATCTTAATAGGATGTTATTATTTATAATTATGATATGTATAACTAATATAACTAGTGTTTGCTGAGCTCTCATCTGTTACCCTCTTTTATGATTTAATCCAACAGGCACACAGGGGAGTTTAGCCACAATACTTTAATAGGTCTTCAGCTAGCAAATTGCAAAAATGTTTCTTAATATATATGCTTCAAAATTAATTGATATTCATGTTACTTATAATAATGCCACTGGCAATTATAATGTACTTGTTAAGATCTACACTATTGCCAATTTTCAAACCAATTGGTAAAAACTATTGTAATTATAGCCTGGATGGCCAAACATAAGTCCAAAATGTTTAGTGTTCTGTGCAGTGTGATTTTGGCTTAAACAAGCAGTTTTGGGGGTAAAAGTTTCCATGAGGCAAAATGTTCCTCTTCCTACACTCCCTAAGGCTCAGTGGCTTAGTAGGTAAGCTGCTTGGCTTGTCAGCTGGAAACCTGGCAGCCCAGGTTTAAGACCCAAGTGTCATCCTCCTCCAGTTCCTGCCAACCTAGCATATCGAAAGCATGCAAATATCAGTAGATAAATAGGTATCACTTTGGTAGGAAGATAACAGCGCTCCATGACATCATGCTGGCCACATGGCTATGGAAATGTCTTCGGACAGCGCTGGCTCAATGGCCTTGAAATGGAGATGAGCATTGGCTCCTAGAATCGACAATGATTAGCAGAGTGAAATCCTTTACCTTTTTTACCTGCACTCCCCAAACCTTCTAAAAGAAGTGAAAAATATTTAAATCCTAGCCCTTCCAATGTCAGCATTGCATCATTATCAGAAGACTTTCTGGGCTCTGCTGGTTGGCAACAGTTTTAAGCATTGGTTCAAAAGTGGCAAATTGTTTTCTGTTCCATTAAGGATGAATAAATGTTATTAGCAGAAGGGTTCCACAGACTCCCACAGCTAGTACAGTATTTGGGTTTACAGTATTTCTATAGATATAATTTATACTGTTAAAACTTTAAAAACTTTTCAAGTGATTAATGGTATGTATTTGGAGCTGAAGGCTTTCATACATGCAAAGTTACTAAAGAGAACTATACACATTTTTGCATTGGCTAGATCTTCCCTTTCCTCCCTTCCCAACGCAATCAGTTGGCTATACCCAGTTTTTAAAAATATTGTTTTAAAGTCAGTAGATAAATTCCTTCTTTTCCCTCCTCCCAGGGAGACAAGGGTGTAACAGGACCTCCTGGACCTCCAGGAATTGTAAGTGTAAAATCTGGTCTTAAATGTGTTCTATTCTTAAATAGAGTAGAGTAGAGTAGAGTAGAGTAGAGTAGAGTAGAGTAGAGTAGAGTAGAGTAGAGTAGAGTAGAGTAGAGTAGAGTAGAGTAGAGTAGAGTAGAGTAGAATAGAATAGAATAGAATAGAATAGAGCTGGAAGGGACCTTGGAGGTCTTCTAGTCCAGCCCCCTGCTTGATCAGGAGAACCTATACCTTCTCAGACAAGAGACTGCTTAGCCTCTTCTTAAAAATCTCCAGTGATGGAGCACCCACGATTTTATAAATAAGTTGATTGTTCAGTACAGACTAGACTGTTTGCTTGTGTATTGCAGTATTGACTACTCTGATCAGCAGCAGTTTTCTGGGCTGTTAGATAGAACTGTTTTTAATTATCTGGGCTGACCCTGATATTGATTATATGCAAAGTACTGCTGTCCCATGACTCACTATCCAAATAATCTGGGGCCTTCCTTCCTTCCTTCCTTCCTTCCTTCCTTCCTTCCTTCCTTCTTTCCTTCCTTCCTTCCTTCCCTCCCTCCCTCCCTCCCTCCCTCCCTCCCTCTCCTCCCCATAAAGATCTGATCACTTAACTTTGTTAATAACATTTTATCCTGGGACACTGGCAATGTGATTTGGAGTTGGGGGGTGGTAGTCTTACTCTAGAGTTCTTTATGGCTACATTCCACTGCATGGAGGCAGGATCTGTTCAACTGGTTTGCCTCCAGCAACTAAGGAGACTAATTAGGATTCAGAGGGAACTTCAGGGTGCAGATTGTTCCTGGAACTCTGGTACACATACAGTTGTTCTGCTTAAACACAAAAGTGACCATGGCCTTAGATAAGATCACAGCTATGCAAACTCTCTAAGCACAGGGATCCTGGAATTTCCTGATTTTCAGAGGAATGCTGGTTGATAGCGTAAGACATGCCTAGAGCACTACTGGAGGAAAACAAAAAATAATCCCAACTATGCATCGAAAAGAACCTTTGGATTTCCGTCTGGTGATAAGGATAGCAAAATGTCCATGGAAAGGCAACCATTATTTAGGGTGATCCACTTCCTTTAGGTAGGGAAGGACCAAAGGAACACTTATATCAAGGGTGTCAAACTGCCGGCCCATGGGCCGGATGCGTCACGTGGAAGCCGTGCCCACCCCATTGCCGGCAATAGCAAAACCAGCCCAATACGTTGTGCGACGTCACGTGATGTCGCAAGTTTGACATGCCTGACTTATATGGTTGCTGTAATATCCTGAACATTTGTTGCATAAAGTATCTTGAATTTGCTTGGAGTGGAACCTAGAGGTTATAGATCCTGTGGAGCACCCCAATTACCTGGGAAGAGTTTAAACCTGTCAACCCCAATGAAATAAACAGGATTCTTGGGGCTGTGAGTTCAATCATCCTTGTTTTAAAACTCATAGAGCCCCAGGGACTTCACAGTCCAACCTTGAGCTACATATATACTATTCTATTAGCACCTGTGTTTTAGATCTATATTATAGAACCTGTTATTTAAAACCTTCCAGGAGGTGATGTGTGGCAGGTTTATGTGATGATTAATGCTTCTATGAAGGAGATGGTAGTACCACCTGCTCTGAAAGAGTTGGTTATTCAACTTCTCTTAAAGAGGTCATTCTAGACTAGCAAAACTGAATTATTTTTGGCCAATCTTCAGCCAAGTTGTTGAGAAAGCTTATAGCTCTAGAAGACCAGCAGGCAAATGGATAATCTGGATCTTTTTTAGTCAGAATTTGGACCCAGTTATAACACTGAGGTAGTACTGATAGCACAAACCCAAAAGTTGTTTGCCTTGCTCAAATGAAACCTTTGTTACTATGTTTGCATTCATTAAAATAAGCTTCTTTCCAGATTATGGGAAGACTTGGAAAATTTGGGAGTTAAAATTCCAAGACATCTTGGGAACACCAGGGTTGGGAAGATTGGGCTAGAACAATTCCTAAGAAAGACGGAGATCCCCGATATACTGTAAGCTCTGACCTATTTGGAAGGTTTCAGATTTACGGTTTTCTGTATTTTGATGCTTGCCATTATTCAGGTTATGGGTGAAGAAGAAGAAGAAGTGTTTGGTGAAAAGGGTGACCCAGGACCTCATGGGTTTCCAGGAAGGAAAGGTGAACTAGGTCCCAAAGGTAAATCTTGGTCATTATTCATTATAAATTCTTAATTGGTTGAGAAATTAACTAAAATTAAATAAAATTTAAATTGCTAGTAATTTCTTTTACTCATGATGCTTTAATTTTCTTTTGTTGCAAGCTGCCTTGATTGTCAAGTGGATAGAAAGGTGGGGTATAAATCCAATAATAATTTCAATAATAACATACGTAGTTATTTTTTGTCGTGATTTGAGACAAAATAAGTAACCTAGCCTCTAGAAAAAAAAATCAAGCCAATCTTATACAGTATGTTTTATTGGGCCTCAGATATTGGGCCCCAACCAAATATCAAATACAATTTAAGACTTTACTTTCTGAATATTTATTATGTTTATTTTATAGGTTCTCAAGGTAGTCCAGGGTTACCAGGTCCCCCAGGTAAGAATATTTGTTAATTTGGTTAATTGTTTAGTTTTAGACTGATTTTTTTTCTAGAACTTTGCCAGCTTTTATTTCCAATATTTCTGTGGATATAAATGATATATTTTCACTGATATTTACCATAATTTTTGAACAATTATTTTATATTTATAAAGCATTCATTTATCTTCAGTATCATTTTCCTATTTTGCAGAACTTTCCAGGATCTGGCATTCTTGACATCTTATCAGTGGTTTTGCATTTTTTCTTTTATAATTATATTTTTTCCCCTAGCAATGTAATCAACATAGCATTTATACTATAGATGCTTACCGGTAGTCTTTAAAAGTAAAAGAGTAAAGAGGTTACATTATAGCCATGTGATGAGGCATGGGGAAGGAAGGCAGGAGAAGGCAGGTTTATGGGTTACATGTGAAGCTGATTATGAACACCTTATCAAGTAACAGTTGCAATGTACTTTCAGTAGCCACATCTCTGTCTGCATCTGACTAGCCACCCAGTCTCCTTCTTTCCTCTCCCTTTCTCCTGCCTCAATTCTGTATCAGTTTAACCATTCCATGAATCAAGTAAAGTGATTTGTAGTTCACAAAAGCTTAAGGCCTTTTAATAGAATGCGTTGTCGGAAAAGACGTTCCTTCTGCTTCATACTGTAAATACTGTATTTAAATGTACATTAGGTTATCTTTTTTTTTAGGCATGATGATCTTTTTCTCTTTTATGAGAAACTTAGTGTATTTTTAAAAAGGACCAAAATGAACTTAGTTTAATATGGCACAGTCAAATCACAAATGTATTTGAATAATAAGACTTATTAAGTGATTGTTTAAAAGATCTGTTTGATTTACACACTTATATCACTTTGCTTTACTTTTAGGGTCATTGAAGTGGCTTCAGCATCAGTTTTCTGATGTCCTTCTTAATATAATATTTAATTATTTTACCTTTTGTCTGAAAAATATTTATGAACATGTCCACCTTAGAGAACCTGATGTCTCCTAGAACATGAAATATTGTGTCAAACAATTCTTTTCATTTTTTCCTCTCTCTCATTACAGAAAAATGTTAGATTTCTATCTCATCTGACTATTTGAGAACTGATTCTTTTATACTATCTGATGGTTCTCATTTGAGATAAAACTTTAGAGGCAACATTTCAATACAACAACTATTTTAGACGTAACCAATATGATGTTCTAATTAAGATAATTGTTTAAAATATGATTATTTGTTAGCTTACTACTTCATAGGTTTGTTGAGGCAGTTAAATGAAGACAGATCTCCATGTTAAGGCACCTTGGGTTCCTGGATATACAATTACAATAACTAAATAATACACAATTGATAAGTTTGGTCTATTACATCTTTATATCTCTTTAGTGGAGTGAGATGGCATGGCAGCCATCAGAACCCTATGGTGTGTGTGTCTACAAAAATGGACTCTGGTTGGGAGTCTCTCCCATATCTTTAGATTTCATGCAGCTGGATATTTCTATAAATAACAATCTTGATATATAAACCAATGAAAATTGGAAATGATTGAAAGGAAAAAAATGCTTCAACCTATTTGGCATATTTAGATATATGGCAATTTTTTTCTATTCTTACGTTTAATATTTTTATTTGATGTTGTTACTATAATTGATGCATATATTTTCTAAAGAAGGTTTTCATGAGTCCATTTCATTGCATTCTTGTAATCGAGGGCAAGCTATTCCAGGATCACCTGGTTTTCCTGGTGAAAGAGGGAGAAAAGGTGACCAGGGGCCTCCTGGAACATCTTTGCCTGGGCCAAAAGGAAGAGATGGATTTACAGGATCTCGTGGTTTACCCGGGCCTCCAGGCCCACCTGGTGGAACAGGCAAGTCACTATTATCCTTAGAAAATATATTATTTAATATTTAAAAAGACCTGAGATAAGCTGTAAATATCAGGATTGTGGCCAGAATGTGCTGAATGAATCTGTCGGAGAAGATAATTGTATACTTTAAAACTACTACTTTGGCCAAGCTAAATGATTTTACAATGAGTGATTGGTGACTTCTGACAGTAATTTATTAAGACCAAGTGATTCTTGCTTACAACAACAGCTGCATCTTTGTCATTCTATCCATTCACTGAGAATATAAAAAGTATATATGAAGATCCAGGCTCCATAAAAATAGAAGTGTCTTTTCTGAGAACTGTTTCTAGCCTTTCTATTAAGAAATTTTGTCTAATAGGCACTTATGGTTCATTGGTATAGTAGCGAACCCCAGAGTGAAAGTGGATTGTGTATCAGTATCTTGAAGAATTAAAAGAACCAAAAAAGGATTTTTGGCTTCCAAACCCAGAAAAAAGAATGATTAAGTTTTGTGGACGGCAGCTATGGGTTGGATTGAGCCTTAACTGACCAATGCTAAGGCGGGTAGCAAAGATCAATATATTTAGGGCCATCAGATGATGACTATGTCATATGAAAGATTGCAACATGGTGTGATTGGATCATTCAGAAACACAGTATGATTGAAAATAATGGCTGTCTGGTCATTTAACCTTATTCATATGTACATGTGGAAAATGAATTAATTCAAAAACACGATCAATTTGATTGCTAATGATGAAAGATGGAGAGAATGGACATATGGGGATAGGGGATCTGTTAAACAAACAGGCTTTACCATCACCATGAATTATACCCAGAAACAGACTGGTAACTACTTTAGCTTGTGAAGTGGAGGTATAACATGTGTTCCCCTAGAAACACATGAAACTGCTCACACTGCTACATTCTGTACCAACTGAAGCTTCTGGATACTTTTCAAGTGCAGCTCCATGTTGTAGACTATGGTATGGTAATCCAGCTTGGGGGGGGGGGGGAATAGGGCATGAGTGATTGTGATGAGAGCCCCAAGGTACTGATACTGGCATACTGTTACTATGCCAGTATAAAAAATAAGAGGAAGCAAGACTGAATGCAAACACCATAGAGAAATTAGTTGCTGGTGTCTAGGAAGGTGTTTGGCAGAATGCTGATTGAAAGGGTACAAAAGATAAAAATGAGCAAAATTTGGGAGATAGTATAATGATATGTGAGAATGACCTTGAGGAATGAGATCACTTTGTAGAAAGGTCTATATTGCCATATAGTATCCTTTTTTTCTTAACCTCTGCAATTGTTGGATCGAAGGTACTGCAATATAGATTTCTTTACATGATTATTACTTTGCAAATTGTTGGGATTAGTAAAATACAGAGGGAGAATGTTATGTGAATTAGCCTTAAAGAAATGGACATTATTAGTAATATAATTTCATGGCTCCTGCCTTTTATTTTTATGTTTGGTAATCAGTGTCATTGGGCTAGATTAGTGCTGTTTAAAGGTCAAAATTAATATTCTTTATTTTCTTACTATTGCAGATGGAATTGGGTGTGAACGTGGTTCACCTGGTGACCCAGGTCTTCAAGGCATCCCAGGACAGTCAGGCTACACAGGAGAAAGAGGAGAAAAAGGTAAGGTATTTGAGTTTTGTGAGATAAAGCAAGATACAATCTCCCAAAGTGTGTGAATGGGCTCAGGAAAAAAAAAGAAACTAAAATAGATTTCATTTCATTCCCATAGAAAGGCAATTATTATTTAACTTATAGTTAATATGATTATTGTTTGATGAAGTACCCAAGACTTTCAGGGCCTATGGGCAATCCTTTAGGGTCTGCATACAGATTATTTTCAATATGTCACATTCAAAGTTTGATTAAACAATATGTGTCAAATATTATGTCACACATATTTCCATTCCTGAGGCATGAGGTTTTTATACTGAATGTAAACAATTTTCAAACATCTTTACCTTTTTCCCAAAGGTGAAAAAGGCGAAGGCTGCTTGGAGTGTGATGGAGCAGGTTTTCCTGGATCACCAGGGCCCCAGGGCCTTCAAGGGGAACCAGGTAAAGTAAGAAGAGGGAATCCCTTAATTACACTGCAGATAAAACTTTTCCCTAGAATTAATTCTGTTTTTCTACTCTTCCGTTCATCACATTGCTTCACAAAGAAATGGAGAGATAGCTTCAAAATTATATTTGTAACCAAACAACACATTTCAAATGTTAGTTTGCATTACCAGATGACCATATACAGTAGAGGAGAAAGTAAGAATCAATTGGAATGTTCCTCCCCTTCTATTCTGTGCTCTTCAAATTTCATTCTTAACATTCTAGAATGAGTTAAATAATCTTGGCATTTATTTTAATTCATTTTGATGAAAGAGTCTGTTGTTTGGATCTGATCCCTGGAGCAATAGAAATGAAGTTAACTCTGCTTTTTTTCTGAAAATGCAATCTTTATTTCCTCCTGAACAGAAAATAAGAGTAACAAGCCTACATTTTCTTATCCTGCATCTTTTCTATGTCTACCCAAAATGTGGCTCTTTGGAAAATAAATATCACAAATGTCAAACATTATCCACAATTTCTACATGGTTGTATGATCATTTAGTTTTGTTTAAGCATTTTGTAAAAGATGAGCATTCTCTGTAATTGAGAAGTGATAATTTAAAAATACATAAAATTTCTTCTTTTTATTGTTGATTTTTTTATTATCATTCCATTATAGGTAGTTCAAGTAAAGCATTAAAAAAGTCCTTTTTCTAAAAATTATTTGGAGTACTCCAACATTTCCATTTCTTTAATAAACATGTTTATTCCTTTATTCAAATGATCATTGTATTTTCAAAATCATAATCTTCTCTTGGCAGCTTATGATAAAGTAATATAAAAGTATTCCGTCAATTTAAATAGAAAAAATGTAAATACAGGAAAATATTCTTGGAATGCCTATCAATAGTAAATGCAATGAAAAAAATGCTTAAAAGCAGCTACAGATGTGGCCAGCTGTATATATCACTTTGGATGGAATTCCACATAATAAGCTAATAATGCCTACCAAATCTACAGTGAAGGAAAAAATTATTTGATCCCCTGCTGATTTTGTATGTTTTCCCACTGACAAAGAAATGATCAGTCTATAATTTTAATGGTAGGTTTATTTTAACAGTGAAAGACAAAATAACAACAACAAAATCCAGAAAAACACATTTCAAAAAAGTTATAAATTGATTTGCATTTTAATGAGTGAAAGTATTTGATCCCCTATCAATCAGCAAGATTTCTGGTTCCCAGGTGTCTTTCATACAGTAACGCTTTGAGATTAGGAGCACTCTCTTAAAGGGAGTGCTCTTAATCTCAGCTTGTTACCTGCATGAAAGACACCTGTTCACAGAAGCAATCAATCAGATTCTAAACTCTCCACCATGGCCAAGACCAAAGAGCTGTCCAAGGATGTCAGGGACAAGATTGTAAACCTACACAAGGCTGGAATGGGCTATAAGCCTATCGCCAAGCCGCTTGGTGAGAAGGTGACAACAGTTGATGCGATTATTCACCAATGGAAGAAACACAAAATAACTGTCAATCTCCCTCGGTCTCGGGCTCCGTGCAAGATCTCACCTTGTGGAGTTTCAATGATCATGAGAATGGTGAGGAATCAGCCCAGAACTACAGGGGAGGATCTTGTCAATGATCTCAAGGCAGCTGGGACCATAGTCACCAAGAAAACAATTGGTAACACACTACGCGCCATGAAGGACTAAAATCATGCAGTGCCGCAAGGTCCCCCTGGTCAAGAAAGCACATGTACAGGCCCGTCTGAAGTTTGCCAATGAACATCTGAATGATTCAGAGGAGAACTGAGTGAAAGTGTTGTGGTTGTAAGGACCCACTTCAATCCACATCTTAAGAAAGCAGAACTCTTGGAAACGGTTTCTTCTAACAGGAACTTTTATTAAGAGAAATTGATAGCAGGCATGACAGACAGGATCTGAGGGATTCCCTTACAATTCGATGTTTTAAAGTGTCCCTAAGCAGCCCCCATCCCGCAGTTCTTCCGGGCGATTCAGACCCCCAGATTTCTAGGTGTTAAATCCAGGAACGATAACATCAATCCAGCTCCGTTGGGTACGATCATTCAACATCTCCTCACACAGATCCCGGAGGCTGCATCTTTCCCCCCCCCTCCCTTTCTCTCGCTGGCCGGTAAGGAGGAGAAGTTCAGAGGGGCATAGGATAAAAGGCAAATGGTTACATTGTGATGGTTAGCAGACCCGAAGCAATCAACAAAAGGTTACTTTGTAGTGAATAGAGGAAGTGAAAGTAATAAAAACCCCATGCATACCCCCCTCCCCCTTAGTAGTATGACAGGATCCAGGAGAGAGTAAGAATTGGTTTTATATCAGAGAAGATAGATAGAAAGGGAATATAACTGGATTCTGACAGTGGTCAGATGAGACAAAAATTGAGCTCTTTGGCATCAACTCAACTTGCCGTGTTTGGAGGAGGAGGAATGCTGCCTGTGACTCCAAGAACACCATCCCCTCCATCAAACATGGAAGTGGAAACATCATGCTTTGGGGGTGTTTTTCTGCTAAGAAGACAGGACAACTTCACCACATCAAAGGGATGATGGACAGGGCCATGTACCATCAAATCTTGGGTGAGAATCTCCTTCCCTCAGCCAGGGCATTGAAAATGGGTCGTGGATGGGTGTTCCAGCATGGAAATGACCCAAAACACACAGCTAAGGCAACAAAGGAATGGCTCAAGAAGAAGCACATTAAGGTCCTGGAGTGGCCTAGCTAGTCTCCAGATCTTAATCCCATAGAAAATCTGTGGAAGGAGCTGAAGGTTTGAGCTGCCAAATGTCAGCTCAAAACTTTAATAACTTGGAGAGTATCTGCAAAGAGGAATGGGATAAAATCCCTCCTGAGATGTGTGCAAACCTGATGGCCAATTACAAGAAATGTCTGACCTCTGTGATTGCCAATAAGGGTTTTGCCACCAAGTACTAAGTCAATGTTTTGCGAAGGGGTCAAATACTTATTTCTCTCATTAAAATGCAAATCAATTTATAACTTTTTTTGAAATGCATTTTTCTGGATTTTTTGTTGTTATTCTGTCTCTGTTAAAATAAACCTACCACTGAAATTATAGACTGAACATTTCTTTGTCAGTGGGCAAATGTACAAAATCAGCAGGGGAATCCCAATTATTCCAAATAGTTCCTGAAAAATAGATTAAACACAGGGCAATAATACTCACAGATGGAACTGGCCAGTATTTTAATTTATAATGAGTGGCCTAAACATTGCATGGGAGTAATCTTCAATAGTTGACTTTTAATACAATAAATGACTAGGTTTTTTTAATGTCTAGCTACCCCAGCAGCTGTTTTAAGATTAAGCAAGCATCCATGTGGCGAATGTTTTATGACCCATGCCCATAATAGTCTCCCAAAATTTCAAATTGTGTCTATTGGTTTTTTTAAAAAATGTTATGTCTAGTTTTTATTGAGCAGACTTTCTCCATGCCATGTGATTCTTTTGATTGGCACTATAGAATACAATGAAAGTAGAAAATTGCCAAACAGACTCAACAAGAGATTCTCACTTCATTCCAGTAACAATGATTAACAATTATTCGGCACTAGTCTTCAAGTCAGTGAGCCAGTCCTTTCATGACCACCAACTCTTCATAATAGCTGAGAACGAAATTTGAGAATTTTGAAAAGGGTTTTGGTACTTTTGACCATCCAAAGTCACCTTCTCATTCCAAGCAATGATCAAGGTTGCAGCCAGACAAGAATGTCAAAACCCCATCTAATCCCCTATATATCCGTGCTTGTTTGTTTGTTTGTTTATACACACATCAGAGGCGTAGCGTGGGGGGTGCAGGGGGGGCCGGCCGCACCGGGCGCAACATCTGGGGGGGCGCGCTCGCACTCGCAGCTCTCTGCCCCTGCCTGGCTCACTCACTCTCTCTGCAGTGCTGGCTGTGCGAATCCGATCTGAGCCGCCGGGTCGCCGACGCCGCCCACTGTGGAGGGGGGCGCAAATTACTTGCCCCGGGTGCTGACAACCCACGCTACGCCACTGACACACATACATATTCTGTTCTTTTAAAAAGGCATTCCAGGACCACCCGGTGCTAAAGGTGATAGAGGGCTTCCTGGATTTGAAGGCATTCCAGGCATGGCAGTAAGTAAATGGGTGTTTTTGGCAAGTTTTCAGAGAAATATTTTTGTAATAATGAGTGTCATCAGTGCTTTAACATTCATCATCTCAGGAAATGAATTTCAAATACAAGGGCAAGGAATCTCTTTCTCTTTGTATTTAAGGGCATGGCATTTTGTTTTGATGAATAGGAAAAAGCTTGCATTTCCCACCTCACAGCACTGATGATAGGAGTAGTATATTTCAATTATGTCAGTAGCCAAGATCTTCAGGACCACACAGGTTGCTAGGTCAGGAGCTGCAAATGCATGCCCCTCCCCCATTTAACACGCAGCACACATGTACATTCACCTACATATGTGGGCATCATTAATTTCCTGGCTTTGAAGGCCACTTGGAGAGAATAGCATTTTAAGCTGGGCTGCTGGAAGGGCACTAGCAGTCCCTGGCAGTTTCTGGCAGGGGAAAAGGAAAGCACTGAGGCTTCTCCTTCTCCCACCAGCCAGCTTGCACAACTGGCTAGTTTCCCACTGGGGAAATTCCGCTCCTTCCCAGTATTTCTGCTGAGGAATGCAGATTACTGGCAGAGGAGAAGCAGTTTGATGGATCGCTGTGAGGAGGGAAGCCAGCAGCCGTTCTCCCTGCCTTGATGGCAAGGGCTTGTGCTGCTGCCTGTGGCTCCATGGACTATCTATATAGTAATAAAAACTCTCGCTTTAACAGGATGAAATGCTGCATCATAGGGCAATGGCTTTTGAACCAAGCTACCTCAAAAGGAGTAACTTACCTAATGTGCCCAAAATCTGACACCCATGATTTGGTTAATTTTACAGAATATTTTATGACATAAAAATGATAATAAAACAGCTTATGACATAATACAAAACATTTCCTGTGCTGATGCTTGACAGTGATCTCCAGTTCAACATGAAGTATTTTCCAGGCAGATATATCTGTGAATGTATCTCAGCTTTTCCAGTGAAGGCAGCGCATTAGAAACTCTGTCATTTGTTGAAAGCATTGAGGAATTAGGCAAGAAAATAAATTTGAAAGGATTACCCAAAGGGTGACAGGTTGTTTACTACTTATAATAGCTAGGGGTCAATGTGGCCACAAGTTGTCCACTTAAGATATTTAATATGTCCTTTATTTTCTTGATTGGGGTTTCTGTGTATGGACTTTAAACCAGGCATCCAGTCCACACAAACAAGCAAAGCCATGGTATGCAGGCAGCACACAAAACAACACACTCTCCGGTCCATGGGAAAACCTTCCTTCACAGAACTGATCCCTGGTGCCAAAAAGGTTGGGGACCTCTGCTTTAAACCACGCAATTGCTTCCATAAAGCAACCTACCTAGTTAGTTTACCAGATTTCTAAATCAGAGTCTGCCCAATTTTGGGATCAAGAAATATTAACTTCCACCAATTAATAAATGAGCAAATATTCCTGTAAGGATAGAAATTCTTCACTATCATTGTATGGTAGAATTGGTTATTGGTTATTTCAAACAAAAGCACTTTTGTCAAAATATTAATGTTTCAAATTAAGAGACAGAACTTTCCTCTTAAACTTTCTTAAATCAAAATCATTTTAAGCTTTTTGCTATTATATCCTCTTTTCATTTCTTTTTTTTGATCCAGAAAGAAGGTTGACTCACCAAATGTTTTTTTTCTTTATCTCACTGGTTTGGAGATCTCTTTTTAACTCTAAATAAGTTACACTCTAAGGTGTTTAAGAAAGTCAAGCTCTGAGCAAACTTTCAGCAAGGTTTAAGTCTTCTAATGTCCTTAGAAAGGCAACATTGCAGGTGAAAGCTGACTCTTCCCTGATCCCCAGTAGTTCTACTCAAGAGTTGACTGCAAGTGCTGCAGTCTTCTCATGAGGAACATACTTCTGGACTGCAGGTGGGTGATCTCACAGTCTCCCGTTGTCTGGAGAGGCTCCACTGTCCAGAATTCTCCATCTGGCTGCTAGTCACCACCACAGTACCATCTCCACTTCTTCAGAGATGTCCACCATGAACTTCATTCCAAATCCTCCATTTTAACTGAATTTGAACTATCTAGTCACATCAAGGGATAATTCAGTGGCCCATGGATCACTGCTAATTTACAGATGCAAATATTCTAAAAATGAGCAACTTTGGCTAGTACTTCACTATACAGCAGACATGTCAAACTCGCGACGTCACGTGACGTAGCGCAACGTATCGGAGCTTTTTTGCCATTGCCAGAAATGGGGTGGGCACAGCTCTGGTATGATGAAACCGGCCCACGGGCCGGCAGTTTGACACCCCTGCTATACAGCTTGTCAGAAGACAATTAATTCTGCTGTATCTGTAATTTCAGGGACCTCCTGGTGTACCTGGTGAGACAGGAATCTCAGGACCAAAAGGAGAACCTGGAGATATTTTCTATGACTCCATTGTAAAAGGTGAAAAAGGATTACCAGGATTACCTGGACAAGCGGGTATTCCTGGCAAAGAAGGAAGGCCAGGAAAGGATGGTGTCCCTGGCATCCCAGGACCTAAAGGAGCATCTGTATGTATCTGTCTATGTCCATTCTTCTATACAAACTATAGAACATAAATATATATGTGTGTGTGTTTAAATTAACTCATTTTATTTTAATCTGGCATAATCTTACGAATTATATAGAACTCCTACCTGGTCAAAAAAAAAAAATCCTTTGATAATAGGAGTAGATAAATTAATGAACTCAGATGAGTGCATAGCCTGATAGAAAAAGCAAAGGCTGTGGTTAACTGATGCACAGATGAGCCGCAGTTTTAGAAGATGAAGATCTTTCACTACATGTAGAAAGGCAGATGCCTCTTCTAGTATGGCATTTTCTGTACACATTATTATAATCACTTTTACTAAAAGTTATATATTCAGCAAATCCCAAAACAAGCTTTTCTCCATCCCTCATTTTCTCTTGAGCCATATCAATTTTGGGTGGGGCAATAAGGGCTGAAGAGAGAGAAGGAATTTGTTCCACTGACAGATATTGACACAGCTGGATTTCACTAACAGGCTGAAAACAAACTGGTGCTTGATTAATGAGGATACATGCCCTTCAATCAATCAAAGTGCTTTTAATCAAGAACTGGTACAGTGGTAAAGGTGCTGGTTTAGAAAGCAGGTGTCTCTGAGAACTCCAGCTGTCCCTAAGGCATGAAAGCTGGCTGAATGACTTTGAGTCCAGCACTCCTCAGACTGCTGCTGCTCACAGGAGATAGGAGTCTTAGATATGTTCACCTATTCGAGTTATATTTAAAAACTGGGACAAAAATATAATTATGATAATTGTGTAAATCCTGTAATGATACCTTTAATATTATTGAATAACAATATTTGCCTATCCCAGGAAGAATTCAGCAGGTGGACAAAAATGCTAAATCTAAATGGATTTGCCATAACTATTGCAAAAAAGGTTTACAGGTAGTCCTCGACTTACAACAATTCATTTAATGACCATTTGAAGTTACAATGGCACTGAAAAAGTGACTTATGATGGTTTTCATACTTACAACCATTTGAGGAATATTTCTCTCAGAAATTCTGCTCAAATTGATGAACCTCATTCCTTAATTTTGTTTCCTTCTTTCACCACAATATTGGCTACAGTGACTTGACTGTTGTGAAATCCAGCAACATTTCATTGCCTCCTTGTAACCACTTTTTGCCATGAGACATCTGTTCAGATGGATAGAATCAGAGGGCTGGAAGGGACCTTGGAGGTCTTTTTGTCCAACCCCTTTCCCAGGGCAGGAAACTATGATGTGCCCTGTTGTTATTTGTTTTGAATATTGTACCTGTAGGAAAGTCTATTGTGTACTCCCTTCCTTATTGCCTCATCACTCCCTGTCATACAGCATCTCAGTTTTTTATTACTTTGAGCAGGAATAAGGGGGAGGCATTTTTTAATTCAAAGCTTTTTCAGCATAATTATTAAGCATAATCTGGAACAAACATCAGATCCATCTCATTGATTATCTGCTTGCCCCCTAGTAGTACCAAGTGAATTATTCACTAAGATAAAATTTATGCTGACATAGTGCATACCTTCTCAAGAAGCATCAATCCCAGGATTACCAAAAGCCTTTTTTTCTGAATCAGTAATGTTCTGGGATCAACTTATAGTTCAGTTGGCTCCTGAACGTTGCTTTGGCTGCAATTTTATGAGAACAGGTAAAGTACTGAGCAAATCCTTTAAATGACAGAGGTTTTAGAACTGGAGACAAGTTGGCTATCAACAACCAGTTTCTATTGTTATGGATCCTGTGTTTGACTTTGTTTATGTGGCCTCCTGACCTCAATTCCTGTGACCTTAACTCTACTGGGCATGACAGGAGACCCTGGGAAAAGATTTGTTTCAAAGAACTGAGAGAACCTCTATTAGATTCCCACAGATGACTCCGTCATGCATACTAACTCCATGTTTCTGGAGGTTGCACAGGAAAATTCTCCTCCATCCCCAAATCTCCATAACAGACTGGATTTTATCCTGATCCAGATTTAGATCAGGAATTATTCAGCTAGTATACAATTGTATATCAGTACAAATTCTTCCTATACCCTGCTTACCTTCTTTCCTTAATCCAGGGAACCATTGGATTAAAAGGAGATCGTGGACTCCCAGGAATAAGTGGTTTACCAGGGTCCCCTGGAGACAGAGGTTTCCCTGGACTTCCAGGAGTTGGGAGTTCTGGACCACACGGTGATAAAGGAGAAAAGGGGCTTTCTGGAATCCCTGGGACCCCTGGACTTCCAGGTAATGCTATAAAAAATAATGTGGATACACATTTTTAAAAATAGATAGATGGTCACAGTACATACCACATTTTGCAGTGATTAAAATGAATGTTTTGTGTTATCACAGACATAGCAGCAGAATTGGCACCTATTTTATGAAATACGATGTTTGCCATTGTGACTCAAAAAACCAAATTCTTCAAAACTGTCATCAGACTGAAGAGTTATTTTAACACAGCAATCCACAGATTATTTTAATGGAAGCAACAAGGAAACCACTAGAGGAAACAAAGGCTAAAATGAAATATTCTAACTCTTGTAACTTGGAAATCTGTTCATTAAGATACATAAAAATAAAAATCGTGTGGTCATAGTTCTGACAGATGAAACTCTTCAAAGAACTTCGAGGCATTGTTTACCTTAAAGAATCTTTATTTGAGTAGTATAGCATAGGCCAGTGGTGGCGAACTTATGGCACGGGTGCCAGAGGCGGCACTCAGAGCCCTCTCTGTGGGCACGTGCGCCGTCGTCCCAGTCCTAGGCCTTCAGCTGAATTTTATAAAACCTTTTCGCTTTAGGCCTTCGCCACCGTGTGCAAAAAAAAAAAAAAGGTTCAATCAATCAGTCAATTTCAACTTCTTGCGGGGGAAAAAAGATCTTGCAAAGTTGGAATTGATTGAACTTTTTAGTCCCACCCAGTCTGCCATTACCACCGCAGCCACGCCCACCCAATGAGTCATACCCACCCAATTGGCCACACCCAGCCAATGGGCCACACCCACCCGGCACCCGACGATGCATAAGTAGGTTTTGGGTTGCAGTTTGGGCACTCGGTCTCTAAAAGGTTCACCATCACTGGCATAGGCACTAACACAGTCGAAGCCAAAAACTGGATTCCCCTCCCCTGAGCACATAGTATCAAAGCACAATTCCCTCCTCCAATTAACAGTCATAAATCACATTCTCCAATTAGTCTGAAATGCAGACTCTCCCTCCAGTTTTCCAGCCCGCCAATTCTTATCATCTCTTATTTCATTAACCTTGGTTCACACACTAGTCCAGTATTATTATGTCTATCTAAACTCTCGTGCACATTCCTCCCCCCCCCCAGCATCATCTAACTCTAAAAATAAAACATAAGAAGAAAATGGTTGCATCTCTAACTTTTGTCAAAGCAAAAACATCCGATGTTAGCAGCGTTGACACATGTCTCTGAATAACATCATTTAAAGATATGGTTTCCAAATACTACCCTTTTATGTTATATGCAAACAAGGTTATGCAGTTCACAAACATTGTCATCCATACAGTGGTGGGATTCAGCCAGTTCGCACCAGTTTGGCAGAACCGGTAGCTAATTTTTTGTTCCCCAGGCCCACAATGGACTTCTAGAAGTGGCATCCACACAGAGAACCGGTTGTTCACATATTTGAATCCCACCACTGCATCCATAGCAGCAATGGTGGGATTCAAATATGTAAACAACTGGTTCTCTGTGTGAATGCTGCTTCCTGAAGTCCATTCTGTGCCTGGACAACAAAAAATTAGCTACTGGTTCTGCCAAAGTGGTGGGAACCAGCTGAATCCCACCACTGCATGGCAGTTTCTCTCAACCCCAGCAGCTCTATAGATGCGTGGACTTCAACACTCAGAATTCCCATCCAGCATGCTAGTTGGGGAATTCTGGCAACTGAAGTCTACACATCTTAAAGTTGCTGAGGCTGAGAACAACAATTTATAGTAAGCTAGAATGATGGCTTGCTGGGTCTTAGAAAGCCATATCTGCCCTGTCTCCAAACAAAGGGCCTCACCTTACAGTTTGGAAAAGATGCCATCTTCAAAAAAGGAAAAAAAATGGATCCAGGAAATTACAGACCTATCAGCCTGACCTCAATACCTGGGAAGAGTCTGGAAAAGATAATCAAACAACGAATCAGCGAACACCTAGAGACAAACAAAGTCATTACTAAAAGCCAACATGGGCTTGTCACAAACAGATCATGCCAGACAAATCTTATTGCATTCTTTGACCAAGTGACAAAATTCGTGGATCAGAGGAATGCTATGGATATAATTTACTTGGACTTCAGTAAGGCATTTGATAAAGTAGATCACAACCTACTACTTGATAAGTTAGAAAAATGTGGGTTAGACAGCATTACCACCAGATGGATTCGTAGCTGGCTGACCGACCATACTCAGCGTGTGGTCCTCAATGGAACCGTATCTACATGGAGGGAAGTGTGTAGTGAGGTGCCCCAGGGCTCTGTTCTGGGCCCAGTGCTCTTCAACCTCTTCATCAACTATTTGGACGAGGGGATAGATGGGGAACTCATCAAATTTGCAGACGACACCAAGCTGGCAGGAATAGCCAACACTCCAGAAGACAGGCTTAAGATACAAGAGGATCTGGACAGACTTGAACACTGGGCGCTATCTAACAAAATGAAATTCAATGGTGAAAAAAGTAAGGTTCTACATTTAGGCAAGAAAAACCAAATATACAGGTATAGTATAGGGGGTACATTGCTCAATAGTAGTAACTGTGAGAGGGACCTCAGAGTCCTAGTGGACAATCACTTAAATATGAGCCAGCAGTTGTGCTAGGCCAACATAGTGCTAGGCTGCATTAACAGAGGGATAGAATCAAGATCACATGAAGTATTAATACCACTTTACAATGCCTTGGTAAGGCCACACTTGGAATACTGCATCCAGTTTTGGTCACCACGATGTAAAAAAGATGTTGAGACTCTAGAAAGAGTACAGAGAAGAGCAACAAAGATGATTAGGGGACTGGACGCTAAAGCATATAAGGAAAGGCTGCTGGAATTGGGTATGTCTAGTTTAATGAAGAGAAGGACGAGGGGGGGCACGATAGCAGTGTTCCAGTATTTTAGGGGCTGCCACAAAGAAGAGGGAGCGAAGCTATTTTCCAAGGCGCCTGAAGGCAGGACAAGAAGCAACGGATGGAAACTAATCAAGGAGAGAAGCAACCTAGAACTAAGGAGAAACTTAACCAGTGGAACAACCTTCCTCCAAGTGGTGAATGCTCCAACACTGGAAGTTTTTAAGAAGAGACTGGACAGCCTTTTGTCCGCAATGGTATAGGGTTTCCTGCCTGAGCAGGGGGTTGGACTAGATGACCTCCAAGGTCCCTTCCAATGTTGTTGTTGTTGTTATTATTATTATTGTTGTTGTACTGCTATATGCACACAATATGGACCTATTGTGTGCCTATAAAATGCAAGTATTGTATCTAATTATGCAAAATAATTAGACGAGGGGATAGATGGGGAACTCATCAAATTTGCAGATGATACCAAGCTGGCAGGAATAGCCAACACTCCAGAAGACAGGCTTAGGATACAGGAGGATCTGGACAGATTTGAACACTGGGCGCTATCTAACAAAATGAAATTCAATGGTGAAAAAAGTAAGGTTCTACATTTAGGCAAGAAAAACAAAATGTACAGGTATAGTATAGGGGGTACCTTGCTCAACAAAGAGAAGGACGAGGGGGGACATGATAGCAGTGTTCCAATATCTCAGGGGCTGCCACAAAGAAGAGGGAGTCAAGCTATTTTCCAAAGCGCCTGAAGGCAGGACAAGGAGCAATGGGTGGAAGCTAACCAAAGAGAGAAGCAACCTAGAACTAAGGAGAAACTTCCTGACAGTTAGAACAATTAACCAGTGCAACAACCTGCCTCCAGAAGCAGTGAATGCACCAACACTGGGAAATGGTTTTAAAATGTTCATGGTGATCCAATATCTTTGTCAGTTATTATTTGTCAGTTATTATCTACTGTATTTCTTTTGTGATCATGGCAAATGCTCTCTCTCTCTCTCTCTCTCTCTCTCTCTCTCTCTCTCTCTCTCATCTATCATCTATCATCTATCATCTATCATCTATCATATTTGTATAGCAGTCTATCTCACATAGAAGTGTTTGGAAAACTATGCAGTAGAAACAAGTTATTTCCAGAAGTGTAAATGGTGAAAAATATTTGGGCCATATTGGGAAATAAATTGATTTTGATAATGAGACTCATATTGATGTCTCTAACTCTTTGGAAAACTTCTGCTTTGAGAATTGCTGTTAAATCATTGTATTGCAAAGCTTGGGTGAACGCTGGAATCATCACTTTAAATCAACTGGTATGAAATGATTATTTTAACGGTTTTTTTCCTGACTTTAAATTGAATATGGTCTTCCCAAGCCACAACAGTGGAGAGATATTCAGCTTAAGCATGTTCTAACATCTCAGTATGTATACACCTGAGTTGTTCCTTGCTTGATAGAATCTATAACATATCTCTATCAAACACTCAAGAATTTTTTTAAAGTTGACATTTCTGGCATATGTCATATATGAACTAAAGAATTAGAATTTTCAAGAAAGCCACAGCAATGACTTCAGATCCTTAAAAATCATAGAATCATCTAAAAATTTGAAATTAAGGTTGCTTCATCAAAGAAATTCAATTTAGGGAGTACTGGACTCCCCAAAGAATGTATATGAAAGGATGGATATGAGATTTTTTTTTAGGCTGGAATTGTAAAATATTGGAGGACTCATTGACACATACAAGGGTCATGTAATCATTTCATATTTTTCTGGGATAGTAGAATCATAGAATCTTAAAACTAGAAGGAATCTTAGAGATCTCCCAGGCCAAACCCCTGCCCCCCTGGATAAATGGTTGTCCTATCTTCTCTTGAAAACCTTCAACAATGGAGCACACACAACTCTGGGAGGCAAGTTGTTTCATTGATGGCAACTTGTCCCATGAATAATATATTATTGTATATTAGTAGATTAATGAGAAAATCTGTAATCTGTAATCTGTGATCATTTCTCAAGAATTGCAATTGTATGCATGTATGCATGGGGGATGGCAAAAAGAATTATATTAAGAAATTGGAAAATGGTATTAATATATCAGAGAATGGTTATAAAAAATATGGTTTTACTGTGATATAGTAGTAAATTAATAGAAAACCAGAGACTGCTGATAAGTATAAAATATATTATAGGTTTATTTCTTAACTTTTGTTTGTATTTTTAGTTTATACTTTTATTTTTTTAAAATCTTTTTTAAAGATTAAAGATGGGTTTCTTACTGAGGAAAAATAGGGTGTTAAGATTATTTCCCTGTGTGTTAATCTTTACATGCTATTCAGAGAGAAGACCTAGTTAGTTGAGCAGGATTTATTTTCTGCTTAACTAATATAAGATTGCAGCCTACGTTACTTTTCTCATTAATCCAGAGGTACTATAAATTCCTGTTGCAACTGTTATATAAATGAAAATAAATATTAAGTTATACATTCTGAAAAAGTAGATGACGTATTTGTTAATTTTGTATATCTTTTTATATATTTAATTACAAGGTCCCAAAGGTGAAGCTGGACATGTCATTTCTCTGCCTGGTCCCCCAGGGGCCAGAGGTTTTCCTGGATCTGCTGGAAATCCAGGTCTCCGAGGTATTTTGTTGAGTTATAATGTGAAGAGGGTTCTTAATTGTTCCATGATTCTTTTTCATCAGAATAACACATGGCTCATTTTGTACCTAACCCCATAGGTGACAAGGGAGACCCAGGGATCCCAGGAAGACCTGGTCTGCCAGGTGAAAAAGGTCTGGCAGGGCCTCCAGGAATTGGATTTCCTGGCCCTTCGGGGGCCCCAGGTATTATCTTATTTACACCATAAAGCGAATGACTATTTGAAGAAGACGCTTTGAGATAAATAGAGGATAGCCAAACTTTCAGAAATCCTTCCTTCTATGCTGGAGATGGAGCCAAAGCAAAAAATTCCAAATATATTTTAAATGATGAATATCAAAGAAATTGATGGGGTTGGATAAGCTAACAATGTTTAAAAACTTAACTTTTAATACCATACAGCAGTGATGGCGAACCTTTTAGAGACCGAGTGCCCAAACCGCAACCCAAAACCCACTTATTTATCGCAAAGTGCCAGGGCCACATCAGCATTGTGGTGCCCTCATGGGGGGGCAGGGAGGCGCCTCTGAGTGCCGCCTCTGGCACACAAAAACCGGGGGCGCAAAAATGGGCCACTGTGTTGCAAGGCGCAAAAACGGTCGTGCCATGGGGTGTAGATACAAGGCGCTGCACCATACAAGAACAGGGCAGGGCTAGTGAATATCACGCAGGCACTAGCCCCGCCCCATTTGCAGCACGGGCGTGCTTGCAGCCCTGTGCATGCATGCATGCATGTAAAATGCTTCCCCCTCCCTTTTCTTCCAGTCCACGAATCGACAATGGTTAGCGACCTCTGCTCTACCACCTCTACTCGAGCTTGCTAATCAGTCGCTTCACCTCCTTTGTGCTGGGCAGGGCTCCTGCTCCGGGTGGCAGTGCTGGCCTGATGCACCTGCTGCTGGCGGTGATGGCACATGTGCCAACAGAGAGGGCTCTTAGTGCCACCTCTGGCACGCGTGCCATAGGTTCGCCACCACTGCCATACAGTATATCAATATTATTTTGATTAAAAAAATAGGATTTCCAAACAAGCTTTCCAAACCCAAGCAAAAACAGTCCATTTCCTGTGCTTTCTGTTCAATATACTATAGGCTGATCTGCTGCCACTTTATAGCAATAGCATTTAGGGTTATATACTGTACTACCCAATAGTGCTTTACACCACTCTCTGGATGGTTTACAATATTGAACCATTATTGCACATTGCCCCCAATAATCTGGGTCTTCATTTTACTGATCTTGGAAGGATGGAAGGCTCAACCTCAAGCCATGTCAGGATCAAACTCCAGGCTGTGGGCAGAGTTTTTCTGCAATTCTTCACTTTAATCACTATGCCACCAGGGCTCCTTATGAGATTAAATTTTGTTTTTGCTCTACACTTATCTTGTTTAAAATATTTTTAAACAAAGGTCATGAAAAACTGGGAGAATTGGCTTTGCTGTTTAGTGACTGAGTCCTTCCCTGGTGCCTGGTCTGCCTTATCCTCTCCTGAAAGTAAAGGCAAACTGCATAGATAACTGATGTTTCAATTGGCATTTGAAATAGAATTGCTCTGGCACATTGTGTAACATAAGTAGTCCACTTTGGTTCAATTTCTCAACAATCATCACATGAATTATAGTCTGGCTTAGAAAACTGCCACTATCTTATTGAGCATATCCAAGCCAATGCTAGGATGGGTATTCCAATCCTTCAAATGAAGTACTTCACAACATTTTGGATCCTTTAAAGTAGCTCATCTTTTTCCAGGTTTCTGCAGCTGTTTTGAAAGCAGCAACTGACTGTTTCTATGTACACGTTTGCACTCAGACTCTTGGCTTCACTTTCCCATATGTTGAGGAACAGAATGGGACGTTTAGGCTCCCACCATTGGCTGCACCCACTTTGCCTCCAGACACCTGCCTCAGCCCATTGACAGCCAACTTTCCTCCTCTGCTGGCCCTCCCCCGGCCATTTTCCCTGGTCAACTGGTCCCTGGCCCTTTGCCCCTCACCCTTCAGCCCGGCCCATTTGCCAGCGCTGGTGCTGGCGGTGCTGGCGATGTGGGGGAGGGGCAACAGGGCATCAGCAGTAAGTGCTGCTGCTGACAGTGCTGGCAATACGGGGAGGCGGCAGGGCATCAGTGTTATTCCCTGCTGCCCACCACCGCACCGCTAGCAGCAACACACAAGCAGTGTTTCCCTGTCCCCCCCACACTGGCAGTACTGCCTGCAGTAGCGCTTACCACTGATGCCCTGCCCCCACACCTCACAGCCCCCTCAGTCACCCTTCCCAGCACCATCGTTGACGACTGCCACCCAATTGGCTGGTGGCTTCTTGTCCTGTGGAGTGAAACACCCAGGACAAATGGTGTCTGGGCAAATGGGCCGGGCTGAAGGGCAAGGGTTGGAGGGCCAGGGGCCCATTGACCAGGGAGAATTGCTGGGGAAGGCCCAGCGGAGGACAAAAGCTGGCTGTGAATGGGCTGAGGCAGGTGGCTGGAGGCAAAGTTGGCAAGGCCAATGGTGGGAGTCTAAAGGTCCTAAACCCTTGCAAAACACCCTCTTTTGAAGGACTACTGCAACCTTAGAAGCTAGGCCACTTAATCCTCTCTTTTGGGGCTGCTGAAAAGTCCTATTATAGAAAGAGAAATAGCCAGGTTAAACAGAAGAAAAGAAAACAGTTTTGCCAGGATTCAGAGAGACAAATGCTCATTATTATTGGTGATTAGAGAGAAAATAACTACCATAGCTGAATGTGGCTCATAATGCTACCCTCTTTATAGCTTCGTTATAATTATAGTGTTACATTCCTTTTTTTCCTAGTAGATCATTTTTATAATTGTGCTCAAGGGGTCATGTTAAGGATGCAGATATCAAGGTTTGCACTTCTTAAATGTAATTGTTCCATTAAAGACCTTTTATATCTATTTTATCAAGGCAATTGTGAACATAATACAAAAAGTAAGCATAACAAAACAGAAAAATATCTCTTTAGAACAGCTTAAATGTGTGCAGCTAAAAAATGGTAAATAAAACGTCTTTTACTGAGCTCTGATAGCAGCACTGACAACAGGCAGAAATCTTTGTGGAGGCTTCTCATCATGGAAACACCACCAGCTGTTATTTTTATATAATAATCATACAAGGAAAAGGGCTTTGGTGGAAGTTCTTAAAAAATAAGCAGGTTGATGAAAGAGAGGATAGGGACACCTTAAAAAAAACAAAGGTTCAAAGCATCTTCTTTCATTTGCCATCAGTCCAAATTTTATTTATTTATCAAATTTTAAAACTGCCCATCTCCCTCACAGAGGGACTCTGGGGTTGTACAAATAAAATATTAAACATAAAAACAGTATATAAAATTTAAAAAGAGGCAGGTGATGTTAAGAATTACATAAAAGGTGAGAACAGGGTCTTTCAAGATGCTAACCAGCTCCATGGCTGCCTGCTTCTCTGTGCACCCCAAGCAAGGTGACAGAGCGACGTTTTTATGCCTTTCTGGAAGGCCAGTAGAGTGGGGGTCCACCTTACCTCTTGGGGGTGATGGCCACACAGGATGGACTTTGTAATACTTGCAACATACTGTTGCACTGGCAAACTAATATGAGGTTGTTTTGTATTTTAATTCGCATTTTGAAAAAACATACATTTTCAAATTGTATTGCTAATAATTTGCCACAAATCTTAACCTTCAAGAAAAGCCTTTCTTTCAGAAATGGCAACTGGCAGGAGAGCATTTGATAGATTGTAGATAACAGTTTCATTTTTAGCTGTTCTCAAACCTCCATGAACAAAGCAAGTATTCAAGCCCAACCTTGGGAAGCATGAGAATGTATTTTACCCATACCCATTCTGATGTTTTCCCTTGCAATTTTTTTTTTACTTTTATTCAGAATGCAATGCTCTTTCCTATGGCTATGCTCATGTATTATTGGATGCTTTAATTCTTGTGATGTAACTGAACAGATGACATCTTTTAAACCAATCAACTTTTACTTTGAAGTTCTTTGTTGTACTGATTATAAAAGTAAATCTAAGCCATTTTTCCAGGTTTCCCCCTTTTCATAGGGAGACCCCACTTTATCAAAGTACTATAATAAATTGCTTTTAAATGATTTTCTGACTTGGTTGCTTATTTGAAAAAGTAAGCCAAGGTAGAACCTGGAACCAGATTTGGCCATTAGGGGGGAATCTTATCTTTCCATTAGGTTTCTGACACAATTGGGTGTTTAAAAGGATATAGGCAAATCTTTTACATTATTGTGCATCTTGTAGGTTTTCCTGGTCAGCCAGGTCCACAAGGTTCAAGAGGAGAGAAGGGAGAATCTGGTTCCCAAGGTGCGCCAGGTGCAGCTGGAGCCAAAGGACAGAAGGTAAGTGCCAGAGCTTGGATACTGATGAGGACCTTCTTCCATACTACCAGACAATAGAAACCATGCTCTTAGAAGCTGTACTTCCCCCTCCCAGGGGGAAGCCAGGCTTTAAGTATTTTTTGTAAGATTAGTTTTTGCTATCTTTTTTGAAAAAGTTAGGGATGGCAGAATCTGGTTTTGATTTCTTTCTGCTTTAATTTTTTCCAGAGATCATTTCCCCAATTTTTACATTTGTTTATGCTTAATTTTAGTACAGTGTGTAAGGTCCTGCCTCAGCTACTACTCCCAAGAAAACAGAACTCTTGAAACAGGCGTTGTTTCAAACAGGAACTTTTATTGAGAGTCAGTGAAAGCAGAAAAGCAAAGCAAGATCTGAGGAATTCCTGTGTAAATTGTTACATTAAAGTTTCCCTTCACAAACCCCTCCCCCCAGGGTCCAACTATCCAGCACTCCATAGGTGTGAAGTTGTTATGGAAACCGGAATGATAAGGGACAGTTCCCAGGCACTGTGTCTTCTTTTTACAATGGCTCAGAGATAAGGCAGATAGCTCCTGGCACATTCCTCCCCCTCTTCATACCCAAAGTGATACATCAAAGGTAGAGAGAATAAAGTAAAGGAAATACATCTGTGAGCCCTCTCCCAATAGAGTGAAATCTCCCCCTCCCATCAGAATGGCAGAGCCCCGAAAGGTTCTCAAGGAACTGGCAGATGTGATCTCAGAACCATTGAACTATATCTTTCAAAGATCCTGGAACACTGGGGAACTACCAGAGGACTGGAAAAGAGCTGATGTAGTTCCCATCTTCAAAAAAGGAAAAAAAAAGGATCCAGAAAATTACAGACCTATCAACCTGACCTCAATACCTGGGAAGATTCTGGAAAAGATAATCAAACAACGAATCAGCGAACACCTAGAGGCAAACAAAATCACTACTAAAAGCCAACATGGGTTTGTCAAAAACAGATCATGCCAGACAAACCTTATTGCATTCTTTGACCAAGTGACAAAATTAGTGGATCAGAGGAATGCTATGGATATAATTTGCTTGGACTTCAATAAGGCATTTGATAAAGTAGATCACAACCTACTACTTGATAAGATAGAAAAAAGTGGGTTAGACAGCATCACCACCAACATGGATTCGTAGCTGGCTGACCGGCCGTACTCAGCATGTGGTCCTCAATGGAACTGCATCTTCATGGAAGGAAGTGTGTAGTGGGGTGCCCCAGGGCTCTGTTCTGGGCCCAGTGCTCTTCAACATCTTCATCAACGATTTGGACGAGGGGATAGATGGGGAACTCATCAAATTTGCGGATGACACCAAGCTGGCAGGAATAGTCAACACTCCAGAAGACAGGCTTAAGATACAGGAGGACCTGGACAGACTTGAACACTGGGCGCTATCTAACAAAATGAAATTCAATGGTGAAAAAAGTAAGGTTCTATATTTAGGCAAGAAAAACCAAATGTACAGGTATAGTATAGGGCAGGGGTAGGCAACCTTGGCTCTTTTATGACTCGTGGACTTCAACTCCCAGAATTCCTGAGCCAGCATGGCTGGCTCAAGAATTCTGGGAGTTGAAGTCCACGAGTCATAAAAGAGCCAAGGTTGCCTACCCCTGGTATAGGGGGTACATTGCTCAATAGTAGTAACTGTGAGAGGGACCTCGGAGTCCTAGTGGACAATCACTTAAATATGAGCCAGCAGTGTGCTGCAGCTGCCAAAAAGGCCAACACAATGCTAGGCTGCATTAACAGAGGGATAGAATCAAGATCACATGAAGTATTAATACCACTTTACAATGCCTTGGTAAGGTCACACTTGGAATACTGCATCCAGTTTTGGTCACCACGATGTAAAAAAGATGTTGAGACTCTAGAAAGAGTACAGAGAAGAGCAACAAAGATGATTAGGGGACTGGAGGTTAAAACATATGGAATTGGGTATGTCTAGTTTAATGAAGAGACGGACGAGGGGGGACATGATAGCAGTGCTCCAATATTTCAGGGGCTGCCACAAAGAAGAGGGAGTCAAGGTATTCTCCAAAGCGCCTGAGGGCAGGACAAGAAGCAACGGATGGAAACTAATCAAGGAGAGAAGCAACCTAGAACTAAGGAGAAACTTCCTGACAGTTAGAACAATTAACTAATGGAACAACCTGCCTCCAGAAGTGGTGAATGCTCCAACACTGGAAGTTTTTAAGAAGAGACTGGACAGCCATCTGTCCAAAATGGTGTAGGGTTTCCTGCCTGAGCAGGGGGTTGGACTCGATGACCTCCAAGGTCCCTTCCAACTAATTAATGTTGTTATTGTTATTGTTATTGTTGTTGTTGTTATTATTATTATTATTATTATTATTATTATTATTATTATTATATATCCATTATTCATAAATGTCCATTAAATTGGAGAGTATATAATTTGCAGTGGCTTTATTGGCATTATGATTATCTCATTATATCATTTCCATCATTTGTAGAATAAATGAAAAATTACCTTGCCTCATGCCAAGTCTGCTGTATCAAGGTCCCTTAGAATGAGGTTTCACTCTCTGCCTATTTAATTAACATTCTAACTGCTAATAAAACTGCTTAATTGATTCTATTTTATTGTTAGAAGACAATATTTGTAGCTCAGGGTTGACATGTGAAGTCCTTGGTGTTAGTGCTCATGATGTTACCTAGTTTGGTAATGAAATATCTGTAAGAAAACCACCAAGTTCAGTGACTATCAAGGACCCCACATGATTCTATTTTACTGGTTTGTTATGCGTATGTGCATTTCACATTCTTCTCAATAATGCTTTATTGATGTATGTATTAAGGGTGAAGCTGGATTAGGTCTCCCAGGTTCTAAAGGCTTTCCTGGTCCCCAAGGACGAGATGGTATTCCTGGATTAAAAGGTGACCAGGGATATCCTGGTGTGCCAGGGGACAAAGGACTTCCTGGCGTACCCGGTCAGCCAGGATCTCAAGGTAAGGTTGCCCCGATTAGCTACATTTTTATGATACAGGATTTCTTTCCCTGTGTATGCCATACCTTTTGTAATTAAAATAATGTCAGCCCTGCCTCAGCCTGGATTCCTAAATAAAAATGATCCTTGGCTCCATTTGTTGCAAAAGATACAGTTTTATTAGAAGTCAAGTGGACTTCAATAAAACAAAGTCAGAATTCAAATTTGGGCACCAAATTCCCCAAGTGTAATGTTTCTCCCTCTTAGGTACTCCCCCTTATTGGCCTCCCTCACCCAATCAGTCCCAAAGGAGATGTTTTTGAAACGGTCATTTCCAGTGTGAAGCAGCATTCCATTTTCAGCTGTCTGACCTTGATGCTGTGTCTTAGGAAGCCACAGTGAACAATGAACCCTGTCCCATCCAGAGTCCATGGCAGACTGGTACAGGGCACAGGCGGTGAGGTAGCAGTGCTGACAAACTGAATGGTGTAATACCTCACTGGAAGTTTACATGGCTTAATAAAGCATATTTCCTCTTGAATATTTCTTTTGTTGTCTTTTATATGAGAGGTCACTTTTATTCCTCCCTTTGATTGTTAAAGTGTGACAAGGGAAGTACCCTTTTGACTCTGTTCTATGATTACTATCTTTCATAATTCTTTCTAAGCTTATGTAGGACTTTTCTTTAAAGTGTTTATCACAGTATAAAGGACCTATTATTAGTGTCTATAAAGACCAATAACTTTTGAAATGAATAACATGCAAGGTAACTGGCTATGCTTGTTTATTTTTCAAATTAGGTGAACTGGGTCCTCCTGGATTACCAGGTGTACGGGGCTCTCCTGGTGAACCCCAAATGGGCTCTCCTGGCCCCCCTGGCCCTCCAGGACAATTTGGGCCTCCAGGACCACTAGGTAACCTATTCCTTTGTTTCCATCACCATTAATGTTGATAAATTGAAGACTTAAGCTAACCTGTGTCGAAATGTATCCTGCACATTTTGTGTGGTTTGATGAAAGGCATCAATATTCATATTTCTAATTTTTATTAAACATCTGAACCTGAGGAAAATCAGACATTGCCAGGAGCATGTGGGACAAGGAAACAAGCCAACAAATATTTTATTTCATCAATGAACTTTCTAGCAAGGAAGTTGTCCCCTTAGGTATAAACTCACATTTGGTCTGTGGGAACAGAACATCTTGAAAGAGTAACTAATCTTATGATTATTTTCTTAGTCAAATCAGAGAAGAAATGCTCATGTTTCTGCAAATGATTGGTATGTATTAAAGAGAAAAATATTTAGCATTTTCAGATTCAGAATGAACACATTGGATACTGAAAGCTCTGAATAATTTTTCAGGCAGTCTTAATGGTTGAAGAATTGTTCACATATCAACTGCTGGGGTCATTGTCCAAATAGTTAATTGCTCTTTTATTTGGGAAATTAGTAAAACACAGAGCCCTGTTCAGAATAGGCACTATTTCCTGTGTAGATGCTACCCCTTGTTCCATTATATTTCAAATATAACAAATATCCTTTGTGAGTGTCTGGAAGAACAGAAATAAAGGGCTGTTCTCAGAGCTTCAGTTTCAGTGGAGACATTCCATTATCAGTGTTTCTCAGAGACAGATTCTTAGTTGTGTGGGTGTGAAGGAATCCACTAGATTCTGCTCAGGCTGTATCTGGGGTATGGTCAATAAGTTCCCTTTCTTATCCTCACTCTGTATGTCCTCAAATTATCTCTAGCATGGTTATTATAAGTTAGTAAGTTTGTATTAATACTTCTTAGTTAATTTCTAATTTTCACCTATCAAGGAATCTATAAAAGATAGAGGCAGTTTGGAGTTTAACAATTGGATTTTATATTTCCAGATGGGGCAGGTATTAGGGTCACAAAAGCATTGGAAGATACTTTGATAACAATTTACTATCACTTCCTTATTTGAAAAAAAATCCAATGTAGGATTAGAAGATGCTTTAGAAAATGCCTGTAGATTTTCTAAGATATAATGTAAACGCTATTTTTTCCTTTCCATCACAAGCACTTTTACCCTCATTTTCCAGCTCATTTTATCTGTTAAAGACTTCTTAGAAACTTACAAGGATGAGAGTACTTAGTAAATTTCAGCTGGTTGCCTCAGCATGGACTTTAGATTTTTTATCTGTGGTCAATACTGTTAATGTGGCCTTTAAAAAAAAAAACACCTCAGAGTACTTTTTTTCATATGGATTTCCTACAAGGTTCCTTCCTTCCAGCATAAGGCTTAACATTTCCTTTTATCTGTCTGCCTGACCCTGTCTATTCCTGAAGAGCTGACAATTGACTCTGCTATTTGCTTCAGTGTGTTATACCATCTGAAGGTTAACAGATGCCCAACTGAAAATGCATTTTTTTCCTTCACATTTTTAGGCTTAGTAGCAAATATACTATTTTCTGTGTCAAACATTTTGTTTCCAAACCTCTTTTTATTTCCTGCAGGACCACCAGGAATCAAAGGGGAGAGAGGCCACCCGGGTATCCCTGGGTTGGATATGCCGGGGCTTAAAGGAGATAAAGGTAGCCCAGGAACACAGGGGCTGTCAGGTGTGCCAGGGTTGCCAGGCTTACCTGGCTTACAGGGACAACAAGGACATCCAGGTGTTCCAGGTGGGTAATTCTTTGTAATTAATTCTTTGATATATTACGACTTTTTATGTAATGTGTTCCAGTATACAGAGAAAATAAACAAAATCTTAAAGAAAAAAAAAGGCACTAATATGTGATTCAGTTTTAGTTTCACTTCCCTCCTTTGTTTGCTACATACAAGCAGTTCTTGTTTAGTGAAAAAAATTGGGACTAGCAACTTGGCTGTTAAGCTTCGTGAAACTATGACTGTGCTTATGATCTTTCTTCAGTGACATAAGTTCATCGAGTTTACTGTGAAAATAGAAATTGAAATATATTATATAAATTTATGAATAATGTGGACAATTAATATGATTTGATTTTAGGACTGAAAGGAGAAATGGGAATTATGGGTACCCCTGGAATTCAAGGTCCATCTGGTCCTATAGGAACTCCTGGAACTCCAGGTGAAAAAGGTAAGAATGACAAAAGGCTAGCCAAATGAAAATTACATTTTGGCAATCTGCTTCTAGGAATTGTTTTAAAAACGAAACAATTAGAAGTAAAATCCCTAAGAGAATGCCAATATCTGTGCTCCTACTCAGAGTTCCATTCAGGCCTTTGTCTCAAGGGTGGTTTTTTTTTCAAAAGGCAACTGCACTGTGGAGGAGGAGGAGGAGAAGGAAAAGGAGAAGAAACAGTCAAGTTGCCTTTTGAAAAAAACCTCTCTGAGACAACTATGACCTGGATGACTAAGAATCTCCACAGACATTCAGGACCTTTTGTGCACCCCAGAATGCTGTAAGCATGATGCTCGATGGAAGCAAAGCAAAGTGGGAGAATAAATGAATAAGTGATGAATCAAAGGTTCAGCAATGAGCAACAAGTATAATGTACCCTTAGATGCATTTATGAATAAATGTATAAGAATATTTGTTACAATGGGCTGAGAACTGAATGATCTACAGCAACAATTATATAGAAGTGACACCAGAAGGTCATGCATTGGAAAAGTGACATATTTAAGAGGAAAGTACCGTAATTTTGTTTGAGAGGGGAAATAGAATGAATTCTTGCAGGTTATGCATGAATGGGGAAAACTAGGGCAAGAAGATAAATTTGTGTACCTTGGTAAAATATGAAGATGGGAAAATGGGGGATATATGCAACTTATGGTCGAAAGGAAGCAAGCAGTATGTGCTAGTTTCATATAAAGTTGAAAGAAGCAAAATATAGGTGTGTTGGAATGTGCTACTGCCTTTTTTGTTATATGGAAGTGAGTTAGGTATGTCAGAAGAGGCATGAAAATAAGTTAAATGTAGTGAAAATGAGTTATTTAATAAGTATATGTGGTAATAAAAATATGGACTAAAAATAAGTGGAGTGATCAATTTTTAAATGTTGAATGTTGAGATGATCCTAAAGAGGAAATAAAAGAGGATAAAATCACCAACGAATATGTGAAAAAAGAATGAATGGGTTGAATTGACTTTGTGGATGGATGGAACTGTTTTACATATAACTGAAAAAGTGGAAGAACTTGATTTTTATTCATCTATAGCCAAAGAGAAAAGGGTACAATTAAATATCTCTTGAAAAGCAAAGACTTTATATTGAAAGTTGGTAGGCAGACAATATTCTGTATAACACAATTCCCTGTGCAGTTTCTCCATTATACATTGATTCTCCTTAATTAACCTTAATTAATTAATTAGCCTTCTTAGGGAGCAAGGTGGTGGCATTGCTGAATTCAGTCACTTCTAACTCTTGTGTCCAGATGAACATAATTTTGCCAGGATGGTTTTCACTAGCTTCTTTTTTGAGTTCCTCTAAGCACAAACCAGGCCATCAGTGTAGTATCTACTTACCTTGTCATCTTTGCCTTGTAATCCAGTTTCTTTCACTTTCCAATGTTTCCACAACACTTAGGATTTCTACATCTTTTACTGTGAGTTCTTTTTTTGTTAAATCTACTTTAAGAAATATGCTGGCAGGTGTAGAAATTATTGCTATCACTTTAGTTATGTTTTTCTCCCAGTTTTTCAAGGATCCTTTGAACTGTCTCAGGAATTCTTGTTTTCATCTGTAATCTTGTCAGTTTTGTTCTTTTCCCTGTCCTGGAGCAGTAGTTCCCTCTCGTGTCTGAATTTCTGAATTTACAAAATCTCAAGTTTCTTCTCACAGACTAAACAAGCCATGTTTCTACCAAACTGCTGTTTTATTTTATTTACTTAATTTTTCAAAGCTCTTAGAAAAAATCCCAATAATCCAAATTTGTCTAGTCCATTTATACCTTTCATAGATCAATTTATTTTATTTTATTTCTTAACATCTTTAAGTCAGGTTTTCAGACTTGTTGTTTGGAAGACCTTTTTTAACTCTAAATTAACTAAACTCTAAATTAACTAAAGATCCAAAAGTGTTTGAAAGTTCTATACAGTGTTTGAAAAACAGTAAAACTAACAATCAATCTTTAAGCAATGAAACAATAGCTTTTTCCAGACAGAAATTGGGAACTGGAGGGCTGATTAAATAAAAATTAATACTATATTGCCACCTGATGGACTGATATAGCCATTGCAAGTTGGAACACAAGTAATGGGGATGGATACAAGTTTTAAAAAAACATGTGAAAAGAAAAATAGGATGCTTCTGGGCTTTTAAAGGCTCTTTCAAGAACTTAGAGTAGGATGTATGAACATAGGAAGTCCTTTATCCACTATAATAAGACGAATACTAATGGAAATTACTGTATGATGAGGTCAATTTGAAATTGAAAATGAGAAACTCCGTTGAAAAAAATTAAACAGGATTACTAAGACACCGTTCAAAGTGTTTAATTTAGAAAATGTAAAAGTGTAAAAGTTGCAGAATCCAATGTGGATAGGTCACCAGAACCAGAAGTTTAGACTTCTGAGCCTTCAGACTAGTGCTGGCACCCCCATCCCTCAGGGAACTTCTTTCTCTCTCTCTAGAATGTGTAACTTGTATAGAATCAGTCACATAGAAATGTGCCCTTCTGTTTATGACCTTTTCAACATTTAATTGAACGATGTATATTATATTTGTGTGTGTGTGTGTGTGTGTGTGTGTGTGTGCATGAGAGAGAGAGAGAGAGAGAGAGAGAGAGAGAGAGAGAGAGAGAGAGTACTTTCATATTGGAATTAAGTGCTATCTATGTGCTATTATTTTTGTTAAGACAAATTAAAATGATAAGCTTTCTTTATGAGTAATGTAATTTTTGGATGGTCTTAAGCATGATTAAATATTAGATTTAGGAATTTTTTAACAGATGTATGTTGCTGGCCTTGCTTTCTATTTTTCTGTGTGTGTATGTGTGTTGTCTATCATCCATGGCTGTAGCAAGAATTAAGTTAAGCAATATGTGTACACTTGTGTTATGTATGTGTACACTTGAGAGCAAGCAATTAAATTTCATTTTTAATGTGTGCCACTGTGCCCACAGGAAAAAAAATGACAATACAGGTTATCTAATCTAATCTAACCAATATGAGGTGAAATGAAAATGTTTAAGTAGAGCACTGAAAATCACAGTTGTATGCTATTGTTTCTAATTAAAGTAGCCTTAGGATCCAGATGAAGAAATATATTAGAGAGAGAATGGATTCCTGACAATAGGCTTGAGAGAAATGTAAGGAACAAGCTCCTAGCTGTTTGTGAAGTAGATTTATCCATTGAAAGAGAAAGATAAACTTAACTTTGAAAGAATTAAAGTTCTGAAGGTAATGCCTGTACTGATAGATGTTCTGTATGAGCCGTTCAGTCACCAGAATTACCATAAATGTTAAATCTGTTTTATGATGCAAATTAAAAATGCACTCTTTGGTGCAGTGGTTAAAGCATCAGGTCAGAAACTAGAGATTGTGAATTCCAGTCCTGCCTTAGGCACAAAGTCAGCTGGGTGACTTTAGACCAGTCACTTTCTGTCAGCCCTAGGAAGAAAGCAATGGCAAAACTACTTTCGAATAACCTTGCCAAGAAAATTGCAGGGACTTGTTCAGACAATCTCTGGGAATCAGACTCAATTGAACAGAAGAAAAATTAATTAAATGTGCAACCAGGTATAAAGTGTCTAGTTCCAAGAATAAAAATGTAATTCCAAGATACTTGCACAATTTAAAATTCAGATAATTGTATTTTTAAAAAGTGGCTAATTAACATGTAAAAAGGAAACATTAAGTCTGTCTTAATACATGAAGTTATTGCCAACTCTTAAAAACCCCAAGATTTTCTCCATGATGATCTGTTTCCTAACCTAGTCCTTCATTTCATAACCTGGTCCATCCATTGCTACTGTATCTGAATCTATCCACCTTGCTGCCAGTCATTCTCTTCTTCTCTTTCAGCTTTCCCAACGTTAGAGCCTTCTCAGAAAACTAAGTTTTGGCGTGCAAATTGGCTGGTTTTCTTTTCCTTTTCCTTAGCTTAACTTGGACTTTGCACATGAACAGTTTGTGATTCGTTCACAGTCAGCAGTCAGCCATGTCTTTGATGCTATAATTGAGTTTCTACACCACCTTTTAGCAATAATATAGACAATTTGATTTCTATGGATTCCGTATGATGATGTCCATGTATAGAGGCATCATTTTCTTTGTTTTAAGACAGTGTTAGCTATGAATAAATCATTGGAATGGTGGAAATTAATAAATTGGCCTTCTGCTAAGCCATGGGTCCCCAACCTCCAGGCGGGAGCCCACTACCGGGCTGTGGCCTATTCAGAACTGGACTGCGCACAGCTCAACGTGCGCAAGGAGCAGGCCAGCACACATCCATATGTGCACAGGTCAACTTGCGCAACTCGAGGTGCACGTGTGTGCGCCGGCTCACCACTCATGCGGCCAAGTTCCCCTCTCCTCCCTCCCCCCAGCCAGGCTGCCAAGTTGCCAATCACAAGCGGCACATCTTGTTTGCATGTTCTATCGATTTCAAATTGAACTTGATCACAAAAGCCATCAACCTACTCTACCTCTGCATCGGTAATTGGAGCATAAAATTGAATGATCATCATATTAAAGGGTTGTCTACAAAGTCTGGTCATTATTATTTGGTCATTGATTTGGTCATTGTTGCTAAACTTTGTTGTCATTGTCTTGTAATGGATTTTTAATAGTTATTGCTGATCATCTTTTAATTACTTTGCTATTGAAGGTTTGAAAATGCCATTCTTACTGCCAAGGCTAAAGTGCCCTTATAACATTCTCTGGATTTTGTTCTGCGTAGGTAGCCTAGGTTTTCCTGGAGTGGCAGGACAAAGAGGTGATCCAGGTTTAAAAGGTGAAAAAGGTGAAGCTGGACTCCCAGGGGAGCCAGGATCAATGGAGCATGTTGACATGGAAAATCTGAAAGGCCAAAAAGGAGAACAAGGAGATAAAGGTCTGTCAGATTAAATGATATATGTCATTGTTTCTGTTATATTTTGATTATTTTTCCCTCTAAGCTTAGACAATAATAATTTTGGCATGCCAAATAATCATGTACTTAATTTCTATCCAGACATTTGCCTTGAACTCCATCTGGAATTTATAAGCAAGAAAATATTATTGGCAGGGATATTACAGACATGCAACAGGATGCCAACCTTTCTCTTGCTCAGCAAAGGAAACAAAAATATACTTTCCAAAGTGATGGAGGAAGTAATGGTGGCCACATTGGATAGACTAGTCCTTGAAATGATATTTCTTAGGATGCCGAAGGGCAACATTTAAGCTTAAAAATCAAATACTAAGTTGACAAATCTATATAGTCAGGTTCCTCCATAGTTAATTAGTTTCTTCCTTTTCAGATGTAAAAGAATCCCTTTTGCTGGGGTGGGAGTATCAGGAAGACTAAAAATAGCTTTGTAGAGGGTGAAATTTTTTTCAGCCGCATTAACTCAATGGGGATCATCTGAAAAGGCAGATCATCTTCCCTTGATATCAAAGAGTTTCCTCTGCTTTAGCCAGTTGGAGGAGCTCTCTCAGACAACTTCCCCAAGAGTCTGAATGAGACAAAGAGTAAAAATCCCTCTTCCTTCAGGACTAAAGAAATATTATGGAAATGAAACAATTTTATCTCGAAGCAAATGGAAAGGTGGACTGTGTATTGCTCTTTGAAACATATACTGCATAAGTGATACAGGAGAAATCTGTATGCACTCTATAATGCACTGCTTAATACTTAATAATATTGTCACACCAAAGAAACTTGTGGCACTGTTTGAATATGAATGGCTAAACTTAAGGTCCTCTCTAGGCTATCAAAGAGCAGACTAATTTTAATGGCATTCACTCATGCAAGAATTAAAGCCATCCAGCGCGCATTCAACAGGATAAAGCAGTCAGTGCCCTACATTTTAGGAGGCAGTTTCAGATTAGTATTTCTTTTGGATGATCCAGTTAGATTGTTCCTCTCCAGGATCCATCCTGTCTTGGGCTGGAATGGCCTGAGATTTAGCTGAATTATTGGAGACCTCTCTTAGACTTGAAAGCACAGTGATTTGGTCATAGAGAAGAAAATCATTTTGTTGGCATGCAGAATATTTAGTTGGTTTACTTATGGTATTGAACCAAGGCACCACACACTGCAATTTTTGCCTCTGAAGTGTGAGATGCTTAAAGTATACTTCTTTTCTGCTGGTCCTTGTTACATGTTGAATGAACTGGGCCTCTGAATATGACTTTTCTTGAGTCTAGGATTATTACTGAAATCTGGGCTTGAGGTTGGGCTAGTTAATGTTAAATTGTGTGTTTCAGTGTATTCATGTACATTCAAAAGTACTCTTTGATTTGTACTGGGATAGAAGCTCTATGTTTCTATCTATTTGGTATTGTGCTAGAAGCTGTATTTCTATCCATTAATCTTTGTGATATAACCAGAGTTATATAATGCAGAACTTCAAGTGTGATGGAGAGAGAATCTTGACAGGAAATCAACATGTTTGATTTTTAGGAATAAAGGGGGTAATAGGAGAAAAAGGATCTGCAGGAAATTATGGCAGCCCAGGAATGCCAGGCAAGGATGGAGATCCTGGTTTACCAGGCCAACCAGGTAGGAAACACTTGATTTGGTTTTTTTTTCAAAATTCTTTTGAATGAAAGCATATAGTACCCTTCCATGCTATTATTTTACTTTTAATAGCATCACTATGTACTTACATAGCCTAATAGACCTCTCCAGTTACGTCTCTATAACAAAGTATGTTTAAACCAACCCAATTTTCTTTTTTAATTTAGGATCAAAAGGAGATTCAGGCACTCCAGGATTCCAGGGTGAACAAGGATTTCCCGGAGAAAAAGGATCAATGGGTGAAATGGGTTTACCAGGTACTACCCACTATAGACCCTGGATGATTTGGAATTTTGCACTGATTAAATTGCCATCCATCACCTCAAATATTCAAGTTAACTTTGTTTTATGGAAGACAAATACTTAATGTGTAATATAATACAAATGTTGACCTTTTATTTTCAGGGCTTCCTGGAGAAAAAGGGTTTCAAGGCCTTTCAGGTGAGACAGGTCAGTCAGGATCTCCTGGAGTTAAAGGTGAAAAAGGACAGAAAGGAAATGCAGGACTTCCTGGAATCGGCTTCCCTGGAACTTCTGGTGAGAAGGTATACATAATCCTTCATTATGTGTGTTAATGTCATAAACAGCATTTAGATTACTGTGTTAATGTATCTCTAATTTCAAGAGATAGCTATTCAGGACTATGTTTCAATAATTAAAAAAAATGAGGGGCAGGGGGAAAAATTGATATATGCAGTAAAAAAAAATTGTCTTGTCTGGAGTCAGATAATTGGAGCAGCAGTCTTTCCCTGAATTGTTTGGTGACACAAGAAGTCAACGTCTGGGGGTTTCTGCATGCAAAGTATGTGCATTTCTAAGAGTCCTTCTTCCCTAGCATAATAAGCTCTCATTACTTGTGTGGTCAGAAAGTGAAGGAACGGACTGACAACTTGAGTGTAAGAAGCATAACTACCATAGAGAAATAGCTAACAAGTTATTCTGGAGTGGAAAAAATTAAGCAAATGTTTTCAGAGCAACAATGCATGCATTCACTCCAGATTGATTTCATTACAAGAATGGTATAAGCATTCAAAGCACAACTGAGTCAAGATGTCTTTGGCTAAGTTAGTTGTTGTGGCCTAGAATATAGACTAGGAATAGGCAGTAGAGGTCATCTATTTCAGCTCGGCTCAATGCAGGACCTGTTATAACATCTTTGACAATCATTTACCAAATTACCAAATTATCAGATAAAGGAAGACTTACCAGTTCACATGCAGTCTGTTTTCCTGACTGGTAGCTTGTTCAATTAGGAAGTTCCTTGCAGTTTTACATCATATTTGGTCAACTGAAGCTACAGAGAATGTCCACTTTGTCTTCTGTATGATAATTCTTTACATAGTTGAAGACTGCTATAATGCTTCCCCTCGGCCTCTTTTGTAGGCTAAATATATCAAAGTCCTTTAAGATGTGGACAAGGTTCCTTGAAAAGGGTTTGGCTGATCACACAAATACTTGATATATTTGTGAGTGCCAGCAGAGAAGAGTTCACAGGGACAGTCCAAGTAACTTTGATCTATTCATTCCCACTTCGCATAACTTCCATCAACTCAGGCATCTATTCTCAGTAAGAAATATCCCTTCGGGAGCAAGGTTTTGCAAAAATCATACTTGGGCAATTCCGGAAATATCTGTTTCTAGGTATCATCTTAGTGTATTGAAATTGGCAGTATCAAAGAACAATATGCATAACATGTTACATGTTTACATGTTAATGCATACACAACTGCTGTGTTATGAATAGCTTAAGAATGAATAACATACAGTGAATATTTAGGTTTTGTGCCAATCCGTTGGAACATCTCCCTATAGTTTTCTTTCTTGGATGGTTGAAGGTTACATATTATAGCAAATTTTAAAATTAACTTCGGGACAAATGGCTGGGAAAAAAATACTTGGTATTGGAAAAGAACTGATTAAAAATAAAGCCAAATGTATTATTTTTCTTCTTCTTCTGTCCACAGGGTCAACAAGGATGGCCGGGCAGCTCAGGCTTACCAGGAGAGAAAGGTGAAAAGGGTATTCCAGGTATTTCAGGCATCCCTGGATTCCCAGGCATCAAAGGGCAGCCTGGCCTTCCAGGTTCTCCAGGTGGGTGATCCAAAGCATCCTGTATTATTTTGTGCCAGATATTTAGGCTATAAATTAAACAGGTGTGGTTTATTATTATTATTATTATTATTATTATTATTATTATTATTATTATTATTATTATTATTATTATTATTATTATTATTATTATTATTATTTTTAAAGGTGTTATAGGACTGTCAGGTGAAAAAGGACAGAAAGGAACCCCAGGCTTGAGTGGTTTTCCAGGCTTAAAAGGACAACCAGGTAAAAGACTTTGGACAATGCTTCATCTTTGTGATTTGAATGGAAGGACAGGTTTTCTCTTTGATATTTATGTCTCGGATACTTGGAGCCGAATTAGTTCATGCTGAAAGCTGACTTAAAGGCTACAAACACAGGTCAAGATGGCAATCTGATCCTAACTAGTAAGGTGATATACATGAAATAAGATACCATGTACTCTATTTCAGCTTAATGTTTTTTAGACAAAATTTGCATTAATCTTATTACAATGCAATACATATTCAACAACATTACAGAATAGTACTCAAATAGTGGAGGAGCTCTGAACCAAAAATGGCTTGATTTAATTTAATTCTGCTGAATCAAAATTAAATGTAATTAATTAAATACAATTAATATGATAACCATGTTTTTTTTAAAAAAACATTGAAAATTATTCATTAATTTTGGTGATAACTTTACAAGAGCTTTGGCTTTTGGGGGACTGCTGCATGCACACTTCTGTTTCAGGCACAAATGCACTTTTAATTACAGACTTATTTATAAATTGAATTGTAATCACATGGAGAGATATATCCAAGTCACTCGGGATCATATTGATTGATCTTTAGATCTTCTTCCATCTATCTATTAACCAAATTAAGAACTTTTCGTCATACTAAAAAATAAAAATGAATTTTTATTGCTCTTCAATTCAATCAGTGCTTTTGGTATTAAAGCAAGACTGTGTAACACTTATGCACTTGTGTCAGAGCCTTGTACCATATTGCAACACTGATTCTTCACAAATAAAAAATAAAAATCAGTTCAAACATTGTAAATGATCAAAATCGTGCATGTTCTCACTTGAAACCTTACAAGCTTCAGGTGCTCCTGCTTAAGATCCCATGAGAGCTTTGTGCTTTAATAATCACATTTACTATTTATTGTATTTATTCTGTTTGGATGTGTGGCCATATTTTAACTGTTTGATGGAAATTGGAAAGCATTTATTTACCTTAAACAGCAACGGGTAATCAGTGCTGTGACTTCTTGGAGTCTAATCCCAACTTCTCCTGTCTGAACAAAGGGGAGTTACAAAAACAAAAACTCTTTTTAGTTCATCCTAGAGTTTCAGTGACCTGTCAGGCAGCCAACTGAAAGGAATGAAATGAAATTTATCAGGTACTTTGTCTCTCCCTCCCTCTCTCTCACACACAAAGTGTAGAGAGCCACAGAGATACTTTGCAGGAACTATGCAGATACAGTTATAAAAACAAAAGCATGCTATTAGCCGAGGAAACAGAGAGAAGATCAAAGAACAAGGTCAGACTACCTCCACTCTAAGTATCAGGGAAGTAAGAGGGAGAGAAGTCAAGCTTTCAATATTCTGCTCGTGTAGCCTGCCACAATAAAATACAGTTCCAGTCAGATTAGTGGAATCAGTTTCCTGACTTGGCCCACCTCAAAGGGCTTAAAGACACCCAACAATAAACACACACACACAGTGGTGGTAAACACAGAAGAAAACTTCTCCTCATGCATAAATAATGTATTTGTTCATTTCTCAGCATGATGAATCCTATATTCCTACTTTGCAGGTGACCCTGGAGCACAGGGTTCACAGGGAACTGCTGGAGAAAAAGGTGAGCCAGGTTATGACGGAATCCCAGGCACTCCTGGTTCAAAAGGTGATTCAGGTAAGACTTTTATCTCCTTGGTTTTCTGACATTAAATATATGTGTTCTGACATTAAATATATGTGTTGTGCGGGGTTGTGATAAGAATTGTCTGGAATCTCTAAAGATCTTTGTCATTTGAAAGGTTAAAAATATAACCAATGTTTTATATATAGTATAAAGAGAAAATGAATGATACATGAGGAAATTGATGGAGATTTTCCTAGGAAACCAGTGCTGATGGTACAGTTAGTAATACAGAACAATCTAAACATATCTGATTGTGCACTGTCTCTGCACTTATTCGCTTGGGCCCTCTGAAAGTCATTCAGGATTTTCAAAGCCACAGTATTTTGACAAAATGTAGTACTATAAATTACTTTGCACTTTTCCTTCTCTACCTTCACTTCCCTTCTCCCCCCACCCACCCTTCTTCTACACATTTTTCTTAAGAAGGGCACAAGAGCGAAAGGGATAGAAATTGTCTGTCTGTCTATCTATATCCATATCCATATCTATATATCTATANAAAAGGAGAAAGAGGTAACTTATTAAAAACTCAAATATAAAGAATCCTCAAGAGTCCATCTACTGTTTTCATTTTTCTTTGCCATTAATGACACGTAAGATGTTCTGAGCCAGAAATATCTCAGGTTGAAATGTCCACTGGGAGTCTTCTTTGCTCAAAATAAAGCAAAATATGCATGTTTCAGTTGTATTTTGAGGTTCGCACAAACACTATGATTTCTTTCCATGCTCAACTTAGCTTCTTGCAGCTCTATTTAGAGTGTTTCCTGTGCTGTGGCTAGACTTTGTAGTGCTCTGTTCCACCCCAATCAGACCTGCACAGCAGAAGAGATCAATCATTGACTGGATAAGAAGAAACTCCTACTGCTATGGCTGCGGGAGCTTGTTTTGCTAGTGGGCATCTGGCAATCCCTACCTCCGCAACCCCAATTCCCATTTTTGGCTTTGCTGTTGTTTTAATTTTAAAACAGCATGATGTTCTTAGTTAGATGAAAAAAGAGACTCACTCTCACCTCTCCTTCTAGAATTCACCCATATTTATAACTTGAAAAAGCATTCCTCCCAGGACTACCATCATCCCTCCATTTAAGTGGCTTGTAAACTTGGGGCAACTTGATTCTTCTAACCAGTGACATTTTGTGTAGACTACTACTGATAACACTGCTGAGCTGTTTTCAAGGCCTAGGTACCTTTTTCCTTGTAACCAAGACTCGTCTTTATGGCTTCCCCCAGCTTCCCCTAGAGAGCTGGTTCTCGCTCATAAAACCCCAGAAATCATGTCTGCTGAAATGACTACTTGAGCAGCAAGAGGGGATCTTAGGCATGACATAACAAGGAATGTAATGATGTCTCCTCAACCTTTCTGACTTGAAGTGTTTTTTTCCTGTGAGAGGGCTCTAGGTGTCCTAGTGGACAACCATTTAAATATGAGCCAGCAGGGTGCTGCAGCTGCCAAAAACATCAACACAGTTCCAAGCTGCATCAACAGAGAGATAGCATTATGCTCACAAGAAGTGATAGTACCACTTAATACTACACTAGTGAGACCACACTTGGAATACTGTATCCAATTCTGGTCACCATGATACAAAAAAGATGCTGAGACAAGAAAATGTGCAAAGAGCAATAAAGGTGATAAGGGATCTAGAGGCTAAATTATATGATGAATGGCTAAGGAAACTAGGTATGTTTAGCCTAATAAAGAGGAGGCTAAAGGGAGATATGATAGTGGACTTCCAGTACTTAAAGGGCTGTCACAGGGAAGAGTGGGGCAATTATTGTTCAAAGCACCTGAGGGCAGGACAAGAAGCAACGAGTGGGAGCTTGTCAGAGGGAGATTCAACCTGAAAATAAGAATAAATTTTCTGACAATGAGAACAATTAATCAGTGGAACAGCTTGGCCCCTGGAGTTTTGGGTGGTCCATTGCTGGAGGTTTTCAAGAAAAGATTGGACAACCACTTCTCCATGATGCAGTAAGGACTCCTGCCTTGGGCAGGGGATTGGACTAGAACAGAGGTTCCCCAACCTTTTGGGCACCAGGGCCCGGTTCCATGGAAAGAGGTTTTTCTGTCGACCAGAGGGGGCGTGGCTTTGTGTGCTGCCTGCATCCCATGGATGGGGCTTTGCTTGTTTCTGTGGACTGGTTGCTGGCATGCCACGGCCTGGGGCCAGTCCATGGACCAGGGTTGGGGACCCCTGGACTAGAAGATCTCCAAGCTCCCTTCCAGCCCTATGATTCCTTTCAATGAAGCTCTTAAGGGCAGAGAAAGCCACACTTAGCCAGTTTCTGTTCTTGCCTCTTTTTTCCTGAGTGAATTCCAGAAGGATCTAGTTCTAAGCTCACAGAGCAACTTCAAACTGGAGTCATGCTTCAGCACAAGCTTTTGATGATGTCCAAATATTTATACTTGCCAGCCTTTGTAATCCAAAGATGAAGAGTGTATTTTCAGAAATGATAGTCCTTCTTGACTAATAAGCAAATACTGGGGTGCATAACACCAGACTTGTCACTGGAAGGCAAAATCATGAAACTGCATTTCACTTACTTTGGCCATCTCATATGGGGAATTCACTGGAAAAAGCCATTCTGTTTTGAAGAATTAGTAATAAAAAGAAACCAGGCCATCAAAGAACGTGGCTGGACACCATCAAAGCTGACACCAGCTAGTGCAAGATTGGAAGACGTGGAGGAGACCTCTTGGCCTATAGAATCACCAAGAGTCGGACACGACTGAATGGATAACATCATCATCATCATCATCATTATCTTGGTAGAAAGACATTCTGGTTATTGATAAATGGATGATAGGAAGATGATAGGAAGATAAACCCTCCACATCTTTGTTTTTCTTCCATATCCATTTTTCTAAAGTAAATTCACAGATTCTCCACTTCAGATTTAATTCTGACAGTACCAGTTTTTCTTTACATAGCTTAAAGCACTTGTCAAATTAAACTATTTATCTTGGAGAGTTTTTCCTTAGGAAAATTAGAAGTCATGCCAGCCAGCAATTTCAAGTTGTAGTTCTATTTTTAGCTGCACAATTATTATTTATTTATATAGTCTAAGTGGTGCTTAGGCCAGAATCAGTTCAGCCTTCAATAGAGTCGAACGAACGTTTAAAGGAGAGATTAACCTTCTTTTCCTTCCCTCCTCCCCCGCCCCTGGTTCAATGATAGGTTTTAGTAGGGCAAGCTCTGATCACTTTTGATCCCTATGAAATTATAATAATGCAGTATCTTTGTTAGGATCATTTGACTAAGTATGTGGATATTCTTCTTAGGGATCAACTTGGGTATTCAGTGTGGTTATATTTCATCTAACCACAAAGTGGGTTGTTTTCAATCTTAGGTCCTAAAGGAGACGTGGGCTCTCCAGGGAGTCCTGGGAGTCCAGGAGTTCCTGGCATAAAGGGAGACATTGGATTTGTTGGCCCACAAGGTCCCCCAGGCCAACCAGGCATTCCTGGGTTACCAGGGAAGATTGGTGAGGGACCCAAGGGTGACCGGGGGCCCCAAGGGCAACCGGGGCTTCAAGGTAATGTACCGGTTCTAATTAACCATCAGAAAAATGACTGTTTTATTTTTAAGTAAGTTTGACTGAATACATTTATAAATACTTTATAAATAGTACCTCAGAGAAGAAGCAGGATTTTTTTGTAATTGTCACAATGAAGCCATTGATTATTTCTGTATTACAGCTTTTTTGTTTACTACAAGTTTGTGAATATTAGATAAATTAGTAGTCAGAATCCATATGAATGAAACCTTATTATTTGTTATCTCCAAGTACAGTCTTTGTTTTAAAGAAGACAATAACAAGCCATGCTTATACTTGTTTTCTTGCAAAATAAATCTTGTCAAGAAATACTTTTTCCCTGTTAGGGCTTCCTGGGCCTCAAGGATCTGTAGGAGTTTCAGGATTATCAGGAGAAAAAGGAGAAAAAGGAAGTTCAGGTTGGCCAGGGCAACCTGGGAGACCTGGACCCAAAGGTGATCTGGGAGTTCAAGGAATCCCTGTAAGTTAATGTTACAGCCATGATTGATTGCTCTACAATTGTTATGCATAACAACATACTAGCACAAGGAGCTCATTATTTTCAGTTAATGGATTTATATATTTTCTTCTAAGAGCAAGGTGCTCTGAGTCAGGCTGATAATATTTAAAGAACATATATTTACCAAATCCTAAACTTTCCATGGATAAGATGGACTCAGGTGGCAAGACTTTTGCTGCTTGTCCCTTGTGTGGAATTCCACTTTATCACTGACTGAAATGGCTTTCATAAAGAGGATCACAAACAGCTCCAAGGATTATTGTTCTTACCCACTGCTTGCTTTGACCTGTAGGACAAACAGACCGTATATTCTCTTCCTTTCTTTACCTTAATCTTAAGTCAGAGCTTCTATCAGTGATGGAAGGAGCTCGGTAGAATGCAGAAGAATTTGAGCACTTCAAGAGCAGATGTTCATACATTTATCAAAGTACATAAAGAAATTAATCTTGCAGCTTTAATATAAAGGAAAACAAATTTGAATGTTTGCATAAAAATATTGACTTTCATAGCAGGCAAGCCACTCCCTGGCCTTTGAAAGAATATTATCCCTGGAAGAGAAAGCTCTGACTTAGCCTAAATCCTTTTATCAACTATTGGATAGGCAACATGTCCTTACAGAGAAATTAATGGATCTCAATAAGTGTATCATTAAGGATACACCTGTGGTTTCATTTACTTTATTGGGAAGGGGGAACAGAACTTTGCTAACAATAAATACCTTATGTCAGCATGCAAAGAAGTGCTTGATACTTCCAACAGCTTATGTCAGCATGCAAAGACAAAGCTCATTTTGTCTTTGCTAAAGCCATTTACCTCTGAGTGAAAAATCTCAGATCTCTTTATTAGTGGCTCTTCCTGCAGCTTTCCTCACTTATTCACAAAATAGTCTATAACCATTATAGTTAATGTTCCAAGTGAGGAACTAAAGGCAATTATCTGTTACCAGTGGCCCTGTTTGTTGAACTCTGCAAATTGGACACCTTTGCTTCTGCTGCATGTTCTTTTTGCAAGCAGATACATTTAATTTAAATAATTTAAATCCATCCCCTTATTTTAGCAAATGATTGCCCAGTGATAGAATTACATTTGGATATCCAATTTGATGTTAGGTTCCTCCAATGAAGGAGAAAGAGCATTGGTGTTGCCTTCTCCTCAGTGAATGAAGTGTTTGTAAGCCACTTCATAACAGCCAGTTTGCTTGGCTGAGAGAGTTAAGACTCAAGAGTACTTAAGCATTAAAAAGGGAAGAACATCAGGGAACTTAGATTCAGAGCTGCTCATCAATCACTATCATAAACTTCCCCAGAATTTAAGCTCAAGTTTAATTAGTAATTTCAAATTTCAGTTTTAGCTACCTGGAAATGACAGGTATTGTACTCCAAAAATCCCCATAGAAATCCCTCACACGATGCTTTCCAGTTAATTAAGCAGAGTGATAATATGTCTTCCAAATATCACATGTGTATCTTTCTTTGCTGGTCATTCCTGAAAATGGATAAGTTTCTTCCAATCATAAAGTACAAGAGGACAATTTCAAGAAATATACCAATCGTAATAAGGTAGAATAGAAATCCATATAGGAATACTCCTGATCTGCAAAGCTGGATTTGAAGGGATCCAGGTAATTTTATCATAACATCTGAAGCAATGGGGAATGTTCTAGTTTCTGTTTGTCTAATTTTTTAAAGCCTCCTTGTGTTCTCATATTCTCTGGTTTTAATTCTTTGGATATGAGTCAAAGCCATCGTGGTGGTATTTTTGTTGCTGTGTGCAATTCTAATTTTCTCTCTTATTTAGAAGGATTTCATTGAGTTGCATGATATTGCTATTTTAAGAAATTACCCATGCTTCTGTCAAACTGCTTAAGCACCAGAACTGAGGGTTCTTTTGTCTTATCCAGGGCAATCCTGGTTTCCCTGGAACTTCTGGTCAGAAAGGTGACATGGGACCTTCTGGAATTCCAGGGCCCCAAGGTATGAGAAAAAAAATATTCATTCTGCTCTGATTTTGTGCCACACGAAGAAGAAATACTGTCTCTATTGCTAATATTGCATTTCCAATTCATTTGAAGGAGAAACAGCGGCTCCAACTTCACCAGAAATAGCTCAGTCACATTGGAAGTGTCCCAAGCTTGAGGCAGCTTAAAACAGGACCGTTTCAAGCTTTGAACACTTCTGACACAGACACAGCCAGAACTATTGCAGTATGAACAGGACAAAGGGCAGAACATTTCAAATTCAGAACATTTTAAATCTCCTTAGTTGAAGTCATGATATATTTGAAATCTGTGTACTAAGACAAATGGAGCAATTGTTGTGGCTGTGAGGGATAAACTGCCACATACTGTTTCTCAGGCCTTCATCTCATTAGTTGGGGGGGGGGGAGAGGAAGCTTTACCCTTTTACCTTAAGCAAATAAGAAGAAAAGTAATGATGAGAGGATTAAAAAGAATGAATACGGTACATAAAAGTGAATAAAAAAGTAAAGAAGTATTGGATAATAAGGATAAAATCAAAGGGACTGGGTTGATACCATTGGATATGTTGGGATGAAGAATTAAAAATAGATAAAGGAAGAGCTTCCCTTGGTAGTAATGAAGGTTTCCTTTATTTCCAGGTCTAAAAGGTTCTTCAGGTTTCCCTGGATCCAAGGGAGTACAAGGTGACCAAGGGTTTTCTGGAACTAAAGGTATGTAGTGATGGCATTTTTTATTCCAGATTTGATCATTTTGAAAAGAATTGTGTTATTGACAAAGAGCTGAAATAACTTGGTGAAATCCATACAATATCTTTTTTTATATCCACATCCCATAGAAAGTGTCCTTCTGATCCTTTGATTGTCTGGCTTTTGTGGATGTTGGCTTACTGTGCTTCTTGCTTTATCCATGCCAGGTCTGCCAGGCCCGCCAGGTCCTCCAGGCCCTTTTCAACTTCAGAAAGGTGAACCAGGCCTACCTGGTCTTTTAGGCCCTGCTGGCCCCAAAGGATTTCCTGGTTCTCCAGGACCGAAAGGGCAACAAGGTAAAAGGATGAAGATTGAGAATCGCTTCTTGATGTAATTGGAAAGACTACCTCTTGCTCTGCCAAGATGTCTTATACAACTTTGCTCTAAATCCAGAGCCTTTTATTAGGCTTTTGAAATTGGATAGCTGCGTTGATATAACAGGGCATTGTTATAAAGTTATATTTGTTGTGGTAAAGACAGCTTTATGTTATGCTATGCTATGTTTTTGACATCATAATAACAATAATACTTTGGTAGAAAAAAGTAGAAAGATCATGCTTATATTTTTCTGGCCCACAGGGCACCAGGTTCCATTTTTGCACTGTGGAAATCTATATGATATTTGCCCATGTTGTTCATCCCCGTCCCCTGCAGTAGTGAAGGGGGAATGATAGAGGACCATAGCTCAGGGAACAGGAAAAATAACATAATTTGTTAGAATGTGATAAGCAATGACCAAGTTACTGTTTCCAAATATTATAGTTACTGATGAGGCTTTAGCATAAAAGAGACCAAATACAGTTTTTTTCCTTGGGAAAAAATGTATAGAATTCATATTTTAGTATACATCTAATTTGTACTTCCCAAGCAAATGATAATTTAATAATTCTTCAGATTCACATGTCTTTGATTTTTACAGTGTGGTTTACCTTTAACTTCATACAGCATGCTGAAACAGAAACTGCAAAAAGAAAATGCCTCCATGATGTTATATTACCTCATGCCAACAAAACAGTCAATTTGTCAAACATAGGGACACCCTAATAACTTCTGTTGATCAAGCCACCTTATCCAGGCAGCATGAATGCAACAAACTAAACTTCCAAAATTTTCCTATGTTGCACACAGGAATTGAAATCCTCTTACATTGGTTCTATTCATGCATACTACTATGTTGCCAATAAGTGCACTTTTGGTACTCAAGTGAAGAAAACTCAATATTGGAAAATTATCCAGATGGCCATTTTAAAAAGTGACTTTCATGAGTAGTGGAGTTATAACCATTTCAGGTGTCCTGATTTAACTCTTAAGATTCCCCAATGCTGTGGAGTTTAACATGAATGTGTCTGCAAAACATACTGATGCAGAAGGCATGTATTCAGTTCTAGATATTCTCACCAGTGAAAATGAAGCATAAGGTTGCATTGAATGAAAAAAGAATTTGGGTGTAAGGACCCACATCAGCTAACCACCCAAGAAAGCAGAACTCTTGAAACAGGCATTGTCTCAAAAGGAAACTTTTATTAGGGGCTAGTGACAGAAGGGAAGTCAAGGCGAGATCTAGGGAAAATCCCACTTGAACGGTGTAATTAAAGCAGCAATATTCCTCCTCCCACCAAAGTCATAATGTCCATTTGAAATCCAGCCAATCCACAGGTGGCACAATGAGCAGGTAACTGGTACAGTTGGCGTGCATCTCAAGGTCTTCTCCAGCTTTCGTTTCTCTGTAACCATCTCCCTGATAAGCAAGACACATTCCTTTCTCAAGTGGATAGAGGTGGAAGAAGGAAAGCAGAAAGCGAAAGTTATCCCAAGCGAAAGCAAATATCCCCCCTCCCCCCAGCTAAATGGCAGGCCCCAAAGCAAAGCATAAGAATATATATGGAAGGGAAACAATAAGGATTTGAGGACCTGACAGTGGGCCTCTTGTGCTTCTGAGATTTGCCCCAGTGGAGGTTCTACTATCGCTAGCAACCTAGAACTAAGGAGAAACTTCCTAACAGTGAGAACAATTAACCAGTGGAGTGGCTTGCCTTCCAAAGTTGTGGGTGCTCCGTCACTGGAGACTTTTAAGAAGAGTCTGGACAGCCACTTGTCTGTAATGGTATAGGGTCTCCTGGTTGAGCAGGGTGTTCGACTAGAAGACCTCCAAGATCCCTTCCAACTCTGTTATTCTGTTACTCTGTTATTTTGTTATTCATGTTCATCCCTATTCTTTATGACTGGAATTCTATAAGTGAGTTGTGACTGTGCATTTTCATTTCAATAGGTGTAATAGGAGCTGCGGGTTTGACTGGCCCCCCAGGAATACCAGGTTTTGATGGCACACCTGGTCAGAAAGGAGAAAGGGGCCCTGTGGGTCCTCCAGGCAAGTCTGAACATATTGCTGTAGCCAGCTTAATAACCTCATAGTAAATTCAGTAAAGAGTATTTTAAGATGATAAGCTTGAGGGAAAGGTCAATTTTCAGGAGAAAACAATTGTCGAGAAATTGGTGAGGTGGTTTGTCTTTTAAACCATATCAGTCTTTGGCTCTGAGAGCCAATATTCTCCCCCACCGCACCTCCAGCACAAAATAAACATACCATTTGAATCCTTAAACAGGTTTATTCTGAAGCTCTGACTTTGTAGAAGGGGACCTTGAGCTTGGAGGCAACTCAGGGAAGGCAGCCAGAATGCCTGCAAATGTGCTCAGAGGTCTTGGCTATGCAATGCTGTCTTCTGTGGAAGATGTGGGCTGGCTAAAGCAGAACCAAGACTGCAAAGAATGGCAGAGATTGAGCTGTACTTGAGCATAATTCCATATAATAAAATTTTCGGTTGAGACTGTTTTGGCTTCATCCCCAGGAGCATCATCTTACCAAATGAATGTAATGAAGTAAAGCTTTAACTCTTGGGTCCAGTCCTGTTCTCCATCTCTGAAATTAAATAAAGCCTTTATTCTGTTTAAACACATTCTTATTAGGGTGATCTGACTTGCATTAGATCATATTCCAAGATAAAATTGGTAATTTATAAAATTAAGGATTTGTAAAAATTATAAAATATACTAGGACTTCACTGATAATAACTGAAATCAGATCATGTCATGAAGTTAGAGACACAGCTCTCTTTTCACAATGTCAGTGCTCTTATCATTGTTTCTGGTAGGTCCGAGAGGCTTTCCTGGTTCACCTGGTCCTGAAGGCGTGCCAGGGACGATGGGTCCACCGGGCAGTCCCTCTGTGGCTCATGGTTTCCTTGTGACCAGGCACAGCCAAACCACAGAGGAGCCCTCCTGCCCATTTGGGACAAGACTCATGTTCTATGGATATTCTTTGCTTTATGTACAAGGCAATCAACGGGCCCACGGTCAGGACTTGGGTAAGCAAGCACAGAAGGAATCCTATAAATAATATAAAATTAATATAATATATTATTATAAAATTAATATAAAATTATATTAACCCATCTTACATTTAAAAGGGCAGGATTTTATGCTAAGTTTTTCCATCCATCAATTGTTGCATAAGTATGGCAGAGAAATTGATTTGGTTCATATATTTCTATAAACTTAGTTCTGTATATAACCTGTGCATATTAGTGAACATCATGCTTTTCAAATTCTTCTAATGTAAGAATAAATAAAAAATGTATATATCAGTGAAAATTATTCCCAAAAGCATGTATGAAAAAGAAATAGCACAAAAGGACATTGTGTTAGGGAAACTGCATGTAAAAACAGTTCATGCTTGGAAAAGTCAATGTTTGTGTAGACTTTTTTTTAATGGAAACTGATGCAGAAATAGTCTGAAATAAACTGATGGTCAGAAAAATTAGAAAGTGACTTGCAGTCCCTAGTGTGGGACAAGTACCGTATTTTTCGCTCTATAAGACGCACTTTTCCCCCCCAAAAGATGGGGGAAAATGTCTGTGCGTCTTATGGAGCGAATGCCGCCTCCCGACCGTGCCGCTGCCGCCGCCGCGGCCTCCCGAACGCGCCGCCGCAGCCCCCCGCAGCCTCCCGCGGCCTCCCGNCGGCCTCCCGAACGCGCCACCACGCCGTCGCCGGTTAGAATATTTTTTTCTTGTTTTCCTCCTCTAAAAATATGTGCGTCTTATGGTCAGGTGCGTCTTATGGTGCGAAAAATACAGTATATCATCAAGCTTCAGGCAGGTGCTCTGACAGTATCTTAAGTAGTAAAGGCAAGTGTTCAAGGCATAGTGTATTTTATGCCTTTCAAAGCTGAGCAAAGGTTATTTTTCAGGCTATCTGAAATAATGATGTTTCTTGAGGGTAGTGATGTTTCTGAAACTATGTCAGGTTCAGAGATTTTTATTTTTAATTAGGTTTATGGGTCTTTATGGAAGCTCTCTTCAAGTTCATGGCTACAGCTCAACACAGCATTCTCTTTGGCCGTGTGGATTTTCTCTCCACTCCTAACTCTTGGTGGTGTTTATTTTACTCAGATAATGTATGGAGACCAAATCTATCCTTCATTCTACATTTTACTACACTCTGAACTTTTCTTTCTGCCCTTCTGTCCTAACACTCCTTATCCTCAGGAACGTGATTTGCAGCTACTGAATGTTTAGAGAAGTCTAGTTCTCTTTGAAGGGTCCTTGGTGCTCTCTGACCTTGGTTGTTTTCTTGCAAACGTTTTATTACCCAAATTAGGTAACATCATCAGTGCTAGTTCTATTTCAAAATGCCATATGAGTTTAGAAAGAATAAATACATCTGGCCAAAAGAGCCCCTAATTCCATTTTCTCAAGGTGGCTGAAGTGCTGCATCCTTGAAACCTACCAGCCTCTTAATAAGCAGAGCAAAATGCTTCTTATCTGCTTAGATTAATAGTCACTTTAGTCACATTCCAAAACAAATTTTCTATTTGGGATATTGTTATGGTTCCGACATATGAAACTCTTCAAAGAACTTTGAGGCATTGTTTACCTTAAAGAATCTTTATTCGAGTAGCAACACATCCGCACGTACATAGTCCAAGCCAAAATCTGGCTACCTCTTCCCACAGCACATAGTATCAAAGCACAATTCCCTTCTCTTACTAACAGTCATAAATTACATTCTCCAATTAGTTTGAAATGCTGGCTTTCCACCCAGTTCTTCATCCAGCCATGTCTTATCATCTCTTTTTATAAATAGCCTTGGTTCTCACTATTATACAGTATTGTTATGTCTAACTAAACTCCCATGCACATTCCTCCTCCTCCCCCCCTCAGTATCATCTAATTCTAACTCTAACAGTAAAACTTAAAGTAAAGGAAAATGGATGCATCTCCATATGTTGTCAAAGCAAGAATATCCGATGTTAGCAACGTTGACAGATATTTTTAGAGGAGCCACTAAGACTTCAATGCATTCTTTTTGAACGTATCATAACATTGATAAGTCTTTGGGGAAATCGGATTCCTTTATTCTTCCCTGTCCCTGTGAGTGTCATTGCTTTTTTATGTTCAGCAAGGAATGGCATTTGTACGACTTTGCTCACTTTTTACTCTGCAGAAGAAGAAGAAATCAGAAGTCTTTTTACACTTGGAATCTCCAACAAAGTTGAAGAGAATAATCCTAGCAGATACCAGGCCAAATCAATAACATGGTACCTGCAATACATGCATCAACAGGACACAAATCTACACAATGTAGATTTGGCTATTGCTACAGCTTGAGAAAATACGTGCATGCACCCAGCCCTGCTGCAACAACTACATGAAGAACATTTCTTGTTTAACCCTTCCATACAATATAGTTGTCCCTTTCTACATATCTCAGTATTATATAGAATGATGGAGATTAACCTTTCACTTTTGGTTTTTCAGGCTCTGCTGGAAGCTGTCTACGTAAATTCAGCACAATGCCTTTCCTATTCTGCAATATTAACAATGTCTGCAATTTTGCTTCAAGAAACGATTATTCTTATTGGTTGTCCACCCCAGAGCCCATGCCAATGAGCATGGCTCCTCTAATAGGAGAAAGCATCAGGCCTTTCATCAGCAGGTAGGCACTCGAGTCACCTGAGGAATTCCTGGCAAATCCAGGCGTTTCTTCAACTATTGGAACCCTCACCAACAGACGGCTCTAAAACCTCATGTGTTTAAAATTCTTGGACAATATTTGCAGTTGTTGTTGAAGATGGAGTTCTATCTCTTGATCAGTGGGAAATCTTTTTCCATAAGATGATACTCTAGAAAGATCTGTCTTTTATTCCTAAGGAAAACTCCTCAACTTATGACCACAATTGAACTCAAAATTTCCATTGCTAACAAGACACTTGTTAAGGGAGTTTTGCCCCATTTTATGACCTTCCTTGCCACACCTGGCAAGTGAATCATTGCAGTTCTTAAGTTAGTAACATAGTTGTTAAGTGAATCTGGCTTCCCCATTGACTTTGCTTGTTAGAAAGTCGCAAAACTGATCACACGATCCTGAGACATGGCAACTGTCATAAATACATGCCAGTAGCCAAAAGTCAGAATTTTGATCCTGTGACCAAGGATGCTGCAATAGTCGTAAGTGTGAAAAATGGTCATAAATCACTTTTTAGTGCTGTTGTAACTTTGTTCATTAAACGAATAGTTATAAGTTAAGGACTACCTGTATTTATTTGAAGTCACAGCCCTAATAGTCCTTTGTCTGAAAACTGTCTATACAGAGGAACAGAACAAACTTTTACCTTGATCTTATTTCATATCAGAAACTCTGTTGAGGCTTTCTTTGTTTCCTTCCTTCCTTTCCTGGAGAATTTTCTTCATCTTTTTTTTTTTTTTTTGGAAAAAGGTTTCTCCATCTACAATCTTAGGTAGGTGTTACTTTGCCTGTGTAGTCTGGACCATTAGGAGCAAGCATTCCATTTCTGCAGCCTTCTATAACATTGTATTCCTTAAAGAAATTTATAGGACAACTGTTTAGATCTAATTTGGCATCAAATATATTCTAAATATTATAGATGTATTTTTTTCCTTTTATGATAGCAAGTGGATGCTCTATCTTCTGAGGAGGTCAGCTGCTAGTAACAATTACAGAAACGGCTCATATTTTTCTGCCCTGTATTTGCAGTACAATGGTTTATTTCTCAAGATGCTTCATATTAAAGATTGTAAACTCATTGGTATACGGCTTTCATACTGGATGGATCTGTGCTGTTGATACTAGGATGGAAAAGGATGAGCCAGTGCCCTTGCAGTTGCTTATTTGTAAGAATGGAGGTTGAGCTTTTAGTAGTAGAAGGTCTAATCTTGTAACTCTTATGTTATCCCTTTCTTAGGTGTGCTGTGTGTGAAGCTCCTTCTATGGTGATAGCAATCCACAGCCAAACAGTTCAAATCCCACCATGTCCAGAAGGCTGGAACTCTCTGTGGATCGGTTACTCCTTTGTGATGGTAATGTGCACTGAGTTCCAGTTCACGTCACAAAGCAAAAGCAGCTATGTTGATTTTTTTTTAAAAAAGAACAAAATGACAAATTCATATAACAATATTCAATTAGTTCACCTGGGGGTTTACGGAGAACTGCAAGCTCTCTATTTCCAAGAACTCTTCAATCAGGGAAGAAAATTAAATCATGGAGGAAAATTAAAAATCGGGGAAGGGGGAAGTGTGAAATCAGAGGAAGATTGTGGCCAGCATTTGAACCATTTCAGAACTACCATCTCAGATTGTAGTTCTTAATGGAATGCTGGAAGGTCTGCAAATACGCCCAGTAAGTTGCTTTAGGTTCTGAAGTCATATGGGAGAACAGAAATGCTTTCAAAGCTTATTGGAAGATACATAAGGCCAAATTATAATTGGTCGTCATATTTGGAAATATATCAAAATGTCAAAACTATTTTTATTTTTCTGACTCTCATGCGCAGTATTTTCCAATTCATGAATAACATCATGGGAACCAACAGGATGGTTCTATCTGATAAAGAAGCCATCCTTACTCCCCAGAGCTAGTGAGCATAACAGTTGGGTCATGTAAGAATAAACCTTACTAATAACCCTAAAGAAAACCCCTTACCAAAGTTATTTTTTCCATTTCTGCCAAACCAAAAGTCCATCTTCTAGGAAATCCAAGGTGGCTCACAAGCATCCTAGAAGCCAAACTAAGATTAAAACAAAAGAGAAGGCAAGGAACTTGTCTCCCTCACTGGACTCGGGCTCACTGATTTAAAAAAAGAAATAACTTTTTGAAGACAATCACCTTGGCCTTGTCTTTTCCTTCATAACTGTTTCTGAAAGGTGTTGCAAAATATGCAGGGCTCTGCAGGGCTCACCAGGACAAAGCAGACTTGAGATGGAAAACAATTCAGATGCTTGGCAAGTTGTTAGACCAGTGTCTCTGGGTCATGGGGTTTCCTAAGTCCTTTGATGATTCATTATGTGCCATTAACTCAATGTTTACTGTGAGCAACCAGGCAGATGGACCTTAGGAGGATCTGGCCCCAGGCTGGTCCTTCAGGTCTTACAATCATTGCCATTATAGTTGAGTCCATTTATCTTGCTGCCAGTGATCATCTTCCCTTCCAGGTTTCCCAGCATTATGGACTTTTCAAGGGATCCCAACCCCTAGTAGTCTATTTTCCTGTATCAGCTGACCAAATGTTGAAGTCTGAATAGGCAGTATTTTTCATAACATTCATATGTTACATTAATATCTTACAGGAATAGATTGTACTCCCAACATTATAAATTTATGGTATTTTTCAAAGTTCAGTGCTAGATATTTGAAAGCAACTCTTGCCTCTACTGCCATCATTCAGCCTAAAGGAGGAGTTCAAATTCAGAACACTGGATCTTCAAGACTAATAGCAAAAGACAGATATGTCCTTTAGAAATCCATCCAGTTCTCCTTTTAAAAAATTGCCCACCAGCCAAGCGGTGGAATTCATGGCTCCTTATAAGCATAACATCCTTTGAAATATCAGAAATTTTTCAGAACAGCCTAGTCTTTAGTGAGGTTCTCAAGCTCCTGTGTCCCAAGTGAAATGTTTCTCTTTAGTACCCCAAAATAACTGAAATACCAGGGTGATATTGATTTCACATTATGAACAAATATTTAATAAAAGATGTTTCCAAATCAAAATTATGACATTTATCTGGTGATCATCAGTAAGGAGGACCTTCTGGCAATGCTAACACTAATGCATCTCTTCATCTAAATGAGAGAGAAAAAACACTCGTAGCAAAAAAACCCCACAGTATATCAGAAAATATATATGAAAACATATATCATTTGATTTGACTTCAGTTCTCCAGATATTTATGTCAATTTACAGATTCTCTCATGGATGGAAAAACAAAACATCTGTACTCCATAAATATGGAATCTCATAATAATCTAGCTGACTGGTTCAGCTGTCAGACAATATAAAAATCAAAATGAGGACCAAAGCATCATTCCTTTTAACAGGAAGCCCAATCCTGGATTTGTTTACCCTGTAACAGAAAGCTAAAGTACCAATTTATGTTCCATGTCTGAAGTCCTTTGGGATACCTCATTGGCTTTGACACTCTTGGTTTTCAGAGTTCCTAGAATTAGTGGGGCAGAATTACTGGAGAATCCCAATCAGGAAAGAACTGCTAATCTAAGTATTAGTTGTACATTTTCTGCCAAGCCTTCTCCATCTCATAGTTTGGAGGCTGAATGGCAGAATTTAACTTATTCAGCAGAGGTTCTGAAGAAATTGTTGCCTTCTTGGAAAGCTTCAGCTAATAGGATTTATGGCAGAATTTGGTAAGCCTTTTTGACTTGGTAATGATGTTTCCATCAGCGGTCTTGCTTTTCCATTACAGTTTCGGAAGTTAGAATGATCCATTCTCCATGAGAAGCAAACATTTTTAAAGAAGATCCTGCCAGTTTGCTACAGCAGGAGATATCATTTCCAAATTTGAAAAAGCCCTCTGGGATACTTAAAAAATAAAAATGTATAGCTAGGTATTGTCCTATTTTTCTCCCATTCAGTGTATATCTCTTTTGGTCAGTGGAAAGCGGGACAATATTTAAAATAGATAGATATCATTTGTCCGTACTCCATCTAAAATTATATCTAGAACAGATAATGCTTAAACACCAGCCATATTTTTCCCCCTTCCCCCTCATTTTTTCCCTAGAATTTAATGACCTTGTCCAGTCAAAAGTTCTTTAACTTCAGCAGCTTGCAACTACTTTATAGATAAATTTTGTATTCCTCAGTAAGATAATTGCTTCAATTTTAGCAAGTTATGGGGCATGTCTATTCTTTTTCATACTATATTTGGGTTTAATTTTAATATATCCTACTAGTTTCTTCCATGCTTGTTTCTACAGACATATAAGTGAGTTCCTCAGCCTTGTGTGAAATTAAACATTTGGCGTCAATATCAGAAGTCACAGCAGAAAAAAACAGCAATCACTGTATTTTTCAGCAATAAGCCCTTCATTGTGACAAGCACTACATCTTTGAATCAGTATTTCTGAACCTCAGCAGCATTAACATGTATGGATTTCAATTCCCAGAATTCCCCAACCATCATGCTAAGATGCATGAGTTAAAGTTACTGAGGTTCAGAAACTGATCTAGACTAATATTGAAAATAAAACATCCATCAATTCAATATAATCTTAGAAAGATAGATGAGAAAGAAAGAATTGGTATCACCAATTATATTTTTATGACATTTTCCTATGAGATCTTGACAAGATCCTTGTCTTCTTCAGCAAAATCTTTCTTCCCTAACTTTATTAGGTGCTGTATTTTAGTTCCTCAAATTCATAGATCTCAGAGACAAGACAATAAAATATTCCAGAAAACAACTGTTATATTAAGAGCAATATGTGTACCTAATGACCATCTCACATTTTTCTGGATTAATTTTGTGTAAAGTGAAATTAATTGATGTTTTGTGATCTCATTTTACTAACTTTATTTGGAGTCTACTACAATTACATGCTCACTCCTGTTTAAGAATAACCTAAACATGATTTTTAAGGGGTAGGATTAATTTAAATATAACAGACCTTCATTTTGAATAAATATATATGGGACTTGAATGTAAATCATTGCTTAAAGTCAGATACTAAAGGCCATTTTTCAATAAATATTCAAATTAAATTTTAAAAAATTAAATATTTTTGATTATGCAACCTATTTCAATTCACATTGATACAAATCAGTGCGCTTCAGGTTCTGTTGACAACCATAAAATTATAGCATACAGATATTTACTAGAAGTCCTCTAAAATTATGTGCACAAAGAGCATTTGGCCCTGTAATTGAATGCACTCCGTATCTCTTTACAGCACACCAGTGCAGGGGCAGAAGGCTCCGGGCAAGCACTGGCCTCTCCGGGCTCCTGCCTTGAAGAGTTCCGCAGTGCACCCTTCATTGAATGCCATGGAAAGGGCACCTGCAATTATTATGCCAATGCCTACAGCTTCTGGCTTGCCACTATTGAGAGGAATGAAATGTTCAAGTAAGTTGGAAGTGTCTTGTGTTAGCTGCTCTAAGGTAAGGGACGTTTTTAACCTATGTTCCATAGTAAACATAATTATAACTGGATGTGATAAAGGAAGCTGCTTTGCAAGTTTTATCTATTTTTTGTTTGTTTGTTTCCTTATATTTTTTACTTGTCCCAGCATTACAGTGGCTAGTGGCCAATTTTGAGCTGGACCACCAAGTGTGGTTTTGAGCACTATAGCCAACATTCCACAAATTGGATATCTGCTCTATAAAACAGTGTCTCCTCAGTCTTTTCTGCTGCTTATTTGGGGACATATTTTCTGTTCCAGGCTTTATTTGACTACTGTTTCTACCTGCTTACCAACAATATACAGAACATAGGAGCTAATATGAGCGAGTTGACACTGGGATTTCTACCAGCGAGATATAAGGTCACCATGTTTGTAGGCAGTTCCTATAATTTGGGAGTTTGCTTTCCATCCGGTTAAGGAACAAAGCTCATTTGATTTGACCCTTCTAATAATCCTAACTTGTATGTATCAATTTGGAAAATCAATCACGCCTCCCAGAGTCACATTAGTGATATGAGCAATCATATAAATCAAGTTAATTACAAGTAGTCCTCTCTTACCAACCATTCATTCAGTGCCCATTTGAAGTTGTGACAATGCTGAACAAGTGGCACTTATGACCAATTCTCAAAGTTCTGACCATTGCAGCATCCCCATGATCATGTTATTGGGATTTGGACACTTGGCACCAGCTTGCATTTAAAATGGTTGCAGTATCCTGCAATAACATGAACACCATATACAGTGAGGGGAAAAAGTATTTGCTCCCCTGCTGATTTTGTACGTTTGCTCACAACAAGAAATGATCAGTCTATAATTTTAATTGTAGGTTTATTTTAACAGTGAGAGACAGAATAACAAAAAAAAAATCCAGAAAAACACATTTCAAAAAAGTTATAAATTGATTTGCACTTTAATGAGTGAAATAAGTATTTGACCCCTTCGCAAAACATGACTTAATACTTGGTGGCAAAACCCTTGTTGACAATCACAGAGGTCAGACGTTTCTTGTACTGTAGTTGGCCACCAGGTTTGCACACATCTCAGGAGGGATTTTGTCCCCCTCCTCTTTGCAATCCTCTCCAAGTCATTAAGGTTTTGAGGCTGATGTTTGGCAGCTCGATCCTTCAGCTCCTCCCCAAATTTTCTATGGGATTAAGGTCTGGAGACTGACTAGGTCATTCAAGGACTTTAATGTGCTTCTTCTTGAGCCACTCCTATGTTGCCTTGGCCATCTGTTTTGGGTCATTGCCATGCTGGAATACCCATCCATGACCCATTTTCAATTCCCTGGCTGAGGGAAGGAGGCTCTCACCCAAGATTTGATGGTACATGGCCCCGTCCATTGTCCCTTTGATGCGGTGAAGTTGTCCTGTCCTCTTAGCAGAAAAACACCCCCAAAGCATAATGTTTCCACCTCCATGTTTGATGGTGGGGATGGTGTTCTTGGGGTCACAGACAGCATTCCTCCTCCTCCTAACACAGAGAGTTGAGTTGATGCCAAAGAGCTCGATTTTGGTCTCATCTGACCACAACACTTTCACCCAGTTCTCCTCTGAATCATTCAGATGTTCATTGGCAAACTTCAGACGGGCCTGTACATGTGCTTTCTTGAGCAGGGGGACCTTGTGGGTGCTGCAGGATTTCAGTCCTTCACGGTGTAGTGTGTAACCAATTGTTTTATTGGTGACTATGGTCCCAGCTGCCTTGAGATCATTGACAAGATCCTCCCGTGTAGTTCTGGGCTGATTCCTTACCATTCTCATGATCATTGAAACTCCATGAAGTGAGATCTTGCATGGAGCCCCAGACTGAGGGAGATTGACAGTTATTTTGTGTTTCTTCCATTGGTGAATAATCACACCAAATGTTGTCACCTTCTCACCAAGCTGCTTGGCGATAGTCTTGTAGCCCATTTCAGCCTTGTGTAGGTTTACAATCTTGTCCCTGACATCCTTGGACAGCTCTTTGGTCTTGGCCAGGGTGGAGAGTTTGGAATCTGATTGATTGATTGCTTCTGTGGACAGGTATCTTTCACATAGGTAACAAGCTGTGATTAGGAGCACTCCCTTTAAGAGAATGCTCCTAATCTCAGCTCATTACCTGTATAAAAGATACCTGGGAGCCAAAAATCTGGCTTGATTGATAGGGGATCAAATACTTATTTCACTCATTAAAATGCAAATCAATTTATAACTTTTTTGAAATGCGTTTTTCTGGAATTTTGTTGTTGTTATTCTTTCTCACTATTAAAATAAACCTATCATTAAAATTATAGACTGATCATTTCTTTGTCAGTGGGCAAACATACAAAATCAGCAGGGGATCAAATAATCCCCCCCACACACACACTGTATGACCTCCCCTGCCAGCTTCCCACATGTAAAGTCAATGAGGAAGCTGGCAGAAAATGTCACAAGTCGGTCTGGTAAGCCCCTCTAACATACCTGCAGTTGTGCTGCTTTGTCCATCGGCTGCTCTTCCTGCACTCAACACTGGCATTTACACACCAGCCTTCCTGCATTTGCACTCTCCCATCCACACCTGGCCTTCCTGCATTTGCACCATGTCCTCCACACCCTGACCTTCTTGTGCGCATGCCATGCCCTCCATCCCCGGCCTTCCTGCACTCACATTTGGCTTGTACCAGGCCTCCCCAGGCCTCCCTCAACTCATGTGTGACTTGGCTGGCCCTCCCAAGTCCTTCTTCACTCCCCCATGGCATCCCCACTGCTTCTCACTTGATCCATGTGTTTTGGGGTTATGAAAACAACTGGCAGTACTGGGATTTTTGTTGCTAAATGATGCAGGCATATGATGTCATGCTTTATGACTACATCGCCTAGAGACAGCAATCCCAGAACCTAATGCTGTTGTAATTTGAGGACTACCTGTAAATAAATGCCAAGCTCAATGGTAGCTGGATACAGGATTGTAGCCTCAGTCTTCCAAACTCAATATGGCCCAAAGATTCTCTGAAATTAGAATAATTATGTACTCAAGGGCAAAAGTAAGCAATCACACACACCCTCCTAGTGGTTTTGACTTCAATTCTTTTCAGCTCCAGGCAACAGGCCTATAGAAAGAGCATGTGGGAATGATCACAGAAAAAGTCTGGGCTGCAACAACAAATTTCACCTTGCTTTTGGCCTTTTCCTCACTGACAGTGACTTTTGTTTTCAATTTTCAGAAAACCTACGTCTTCCACACTGAAGGCCGGAGAATTGCATTCAAATGTTAGCCGCTGCCAAGTCTGTATGAAGAGAACATAATGACTGCATTATTGTACCTAATTTCACAATATGGTGCTATTTTGTTAACAGCAGTGAAGCTTAGGCATATATTCCTATGTACCTCATTGTTACCAGGTATAAAGCCATCAAGTGCCATACAGGAAGCTGCCTGACTAAATTCTTTACTTTTTTGGCTTTTATTTGCTGAAGAGGATGAAGATACAACGAATGTGTCAAATGGCACTCTTGAAGAAACCTGATTTTTGTATGTCAATGTGATGCACTGAAACTTGGCTCTAAATTCACAAGTGGGAGGAAAAACAGAAGGATCCAGTTCTGCCACAAGTCCTTTTTTTCCATGTGTATGCTTTATATATATGGGGTTCTATCATAGTTAGGATAATTGTTAGACAAATTACGCCATAGACACAGGATTTCTGGACCCAAAATATTGTTGGAAGAGTAACATGACACTGCAACGTGCCAATGTTTCCTCTTGCATTGGATTCAAAGGACTGGACCGAAGAAAACAGAGTTCTGGCTGAGGGATTGAAGGTTTCTGCTCTGTGGTACTACGTGGCCCTTTCTAGTCCACCTTCTTAGGGAATTTAGGATGGACCAATGTGTGCGCAAACTGATTGGTGTTGAATATTTATATACTAGCCGTTCTGCAAATGAAGCATTGAACAATCTTTAATTATAATGTATTTTTCTTAATATCCATTCTTAGAGGAGCTATGAGAAATAATTAATTCTCCTACATAGTGATCAAATTGGCTTGGAAAAAGAACCTTAATCAACTAACAGGTGATTACTACAGTAATATTCAGGCCTTCAGCTTCTTCTTTATGGATTTAATATTTTCAGGGTTTTAAAGCACTAATACACTGAATGACTTGATTTTAATATATAAACAGCCTTATGACTTGGTGAATCTGTTAGTTAATAAACTCACATACTTTATTGGGTTTCTATAAAAATATGCTGATAATTCAAAAAATCATTCATAAAACAGGTTATATAAAAATTATATTAAAATACTTTTAAATATAGACCCTCTTGGTAAATCTTTCACAGTGGACCTTTTAAAAATTAAACAATTTGTATAAAAATATTTTCAGCATTAGTGTGTTGGTTTTTGAGAAGCTGGTTGTGTGGATTGATGGTTACTTTGATTCCAAATATGCAGCCATTATCTTAGAACTTATATTTGTAATTGTTCCTGTTCTTATCCAACACATTATTCATGTGGATAAAATTTAACATATCCTTTAAACTATTCAGAGCTGCCGAGTGAAATATAGCAAATATTATCTTGCAAGCATTTGAATGGAATTGCATATGACTAATAAGTCAGGGCAATAACATTTAAAAGCGTATGTACATAAACACCCATGCATAGATCAACATCGGCAGTGATGATACTTTCTCTGATACAACTGAAGTAATGAATTATGCCTGTTGTTGTTGTTGTCAGCTATTAGTCGTGTCCAACCCTTGGTCACTCTATGGATCAACACTCTTCATTCTGCTGGGTCTCGCACTGCCTCCTTCAGATCTGCCATGGTCATGGATCATGGACCCTTGTAATGTCCAATCAGTGGGTACTAGGCCAGCCCTTTCTCCCTTTTCTGCTGATCATATTATGTCTAACAGGTTAGATAAACAAGGCCTGGAAGTTCTTTGAAGTGTTTCATTAGTCGGAACCATGACACTTATAAGCTTTGGGCTGAGTTAAAATCTACTCTTGTCACTATGAACCAAGACAACAGTGGACAAGGATGCTCCAATGGAATGTGTGAAAATGAAACATCATTCAGGATGAAGCTTTGAAATTGGTTTGATAGGAAATCTAATTAAGCCACTCAAAGAAAAAATAAAGACTGAATTACATGAGTCAACAAATGCTATCCAATAGGACTTGGATAAGTTAATAAACTGTCAGAACCCATTTCCTGTTGGGGGTTTGATTCTGTCATTTTCTGGCTTCTCTCTGTAGGCTCTGTCATTCTCCTGAGGGGGAGGGGGAGGCCCTTAGGGATGCTTTATTTCTCCTTTCGCTTAGCCACAATGTATCCTCTCTGCCTTTTCTATCTGCTTGCTGTTTGAACTGCTTTCCCTTGATGTCAACCTGGGGTGAGAAAGGAATGTGCCTCCAGCCATCTGGCTTATCTCTCACTGCGGAAGAGAAAGGTGCAAAGACCCAACAACGTCTTCACAGGTATGGGAACGGACACTGTTATCAGCCCCGTTCCCACAGCAGACTTAACACCTGGGGTTGGCTCGTTTGAACTGACCAGATGAACTATTGGGGTGGGGTTTGCTTGAGGCTCCTTTAACCTATTGATCTGAGCAGGAAACCCTCATATCCTGCCTTCCATGCCTGCTATCAGCTTCTAATAAAAGTTCCTTTTAGAAAGAAACTGTTCCAAGAGTCCTGCTTTCTTGGGATGAGGTTTTGAAGCAGGTCTTTACATTAGGCAGGATCTGCAGTAACAGTCAGCCCAGAAGGAAGACCCTTACCGGGGGACTGCACAAACGATGTCTGAAATTGGCTTGGAGAGGAAAGAACCTGCCATGGGGGGGGGAGTTTTCCCACCGGGCAGGCCCCAGCAAATACAGCTCTCAGTCCTCGAGCTCCTCGGATGAGGTGGTGGTCGCTGAACACCGAGACAGACCAAGGTGGTCGATGGGCATTGGCAAGAAGGAAGACTGGGAGAAGAAAGCCTCAAACGTTGCAGTCACCAGCCGGGTTAGAAAGTCAAAATGGAGAGGTCACTTCGCCTCAGTAAAGATGAGGACGACAGGCCACCCAGCTCCAACTGGTTCCTAGAGCAAGCTATTGACATGCTGAGAGTTGCCTTTGATTTCCTGAAGGAAGAGAATGCCAATCCATGCCGGGGCACCGCCAACCCAGGTTCAGCTGAGGGGACAGATGAAGGCGGGTTGAGGCAGGAACTTCTGCCGGCACCACAGAAACAGTAACCATCACCACAGCCATCACAGCCACCCCCACTGAACTGACGGTGACAGACACCAACTCAGGAGGCGGAGATGACCATCAAGAGGTTCCCTCTGCTGGGGGTAAGGTATAGTGGAGAGCCGCATCAGTTGGGGTTTTTCTTGACTCAAGCCTTAAACTACATGGAAGAATATGGCTGAGAAATAGCCAGTGACCGCAGCCGAATAAGGATTGTACAGATGGCCCTAGATGGCAATGCTGCTGAATGGATGGTGGATCTTCATGACGTCGATGCATCAGAGCTGCAAAATTTCAACCAATTCATGGCAGCTCTCTGGAGACGGTTCGAAGATCCTTTGTAAGGTCCCAGCAAAACAGTAACTCTCACACAAGGTGGAGGAAAGAAGAAGGTAAAGAAGAAAGCTCTGGAGCCTGCCCCTCCCGAAAGGGGATCTGAATTCTGAGATGATGAAAGCCATCCTAAAGCATACAATGGAATATGTGCGAGAGTCCTTCAAGGAACTGAAAGCACAGCTGAAGGAGCCATCAGACTTGGAGGGAGAAGTAGAGGAGGAAACGGATGAAGAATTAGCGGCAATTGATGCGATGGCAGCGGCAGCCCCCCCCCTGCAGCAGCGGCACGATGGACCAGACTGTCCCAAAGACCCAGAGCAGCCATACCCCAACCAGCGGAGATGAAACCAATTCCGTTGGGGGTGAAATTCAACAGAAATCCCAAAAGATTGGGATTCTTCCTAGCCCAGGTGTTCACATAGATGCAGATATATGGAAGAACACTACCTACGGATGAGGAGAAAGTCAGAGTGGTCACCCTAGTGCTGGAAGATGCAGCAGCTAACTGGATGGTGACCTTCTACCACTCTCCAGAGCTGAGAAATTTCAACTGTTTCATGGCAGCTCTACGATGTCATTTCGAAGACCACCTGGCAGACAAAGCTCGCAAGCGCATGAAGATGTTGAAGCAAGGGAGACGATCAGTAGCTGAGGAATTCAGGGAGTTGGCCAGCTGTTTAAACTGGCCAGAGGACATCCTGGTGAGTTGTTTCCAAGATGGCCTAAATGAAGACCTGTACAATGCCTGTGTGGCCCACGGGGCCCCAGGGCAATTGTACAATTGGTGCCTCTTAGCAGAAGAGGTGGAAATAGATCAACACAAGCACCAACACCACCTGGTGAACCCACCTTCAAGCTAACACCAGGGAAGAGAGCTGAAACAGGTGATCATCACCAACCGTCACCCTGCTTCACTGCATGCTTCAAGTGTGGGAAAGAGGGGGCACCGAGCAATCGACTCCTGCAGCAAGGTACCAGCCAAGAGAGGGGACCGGCAATCCACCAGTAGACCTACAAAACCAACACCACACCAGAGAGCCAGCGATGGTGTTTGAGGAGACTGTGGAACTCCTCCCGAGCCCGGAGGTTGGAGGGTCAAGTTCTGGCTCCTGCAAACAATGATTCTGAGGCAGCCGAGAGTGACTATGAGAACGACCACTTGGTAAGTGGCTCAATTGAACTGTCCATACTGGATACCGGGAAGAGAGTAAAGCTAGCAGCTTTATTGCACTCAGGATGCACCTATTGTTTGGTCAACCCAGAGTTGGTAGGGGAAATGGGAATACCCCTCAGGAGGCTCACTTTTTGCCAGCTTGACGGGTCCGTCGCAAATGGGGTCCCTGCCAGTTTTGCTACCAGACCATTGCACATTACCATGTGAGACCACTCAGAGACTTTAGCATTTGTTGTGGCTCCTAGCATGGAGTGGCCATTAGTATTAGATTTGGCATGGCTAAAGAAATGAAACCCCATAGTGGATTGGAGAGAAGGATGTTTGAAATTCCTGGAGGGACCCCTACCTCTATCCAAAAGAAAAGGCAGGAGGCATGGACTACGTCACGAATTAGCCTCCATCCTCAGCGAACAGGAATTGCAAAGCCTCCCACTGGAATACCGAGACCTAGCCGAAGTGTTCAGTGAACAGAGGTCGGATGAATTTCCGCCCCACCGGCCCACAAACTGTGCCATTGAAATTATCCCAGGGGCGAAGCTTCCAAAACAAAAGATGTACTCCATGACCCCAAGAGAACTTAATGAAGTTCATTGAAAAGAACTTAGTGCGGGGTTTCATCCAGCTAGCAAAACCCTGGGTGGCAACCCCCATGCTATTCAGAAAGAAGAATGGGCCGCTTTGTCTCTGGGTATATTATAGAGGCCTGAACGCTGTATGCGTGGAGAATCTATACCCCCTCCCCCTCATGAAGGACATGTTAGCACACCTGTCAAAAGGAATAATTTTCTCCAAGCTGGATTTGCGGGAGGCGTATTATCGCATAAGAATATGGGAGGGGGATGAATGGAAGACTGCATTTAATTGCCCCATGAGTTGTTTCCAATTTAAGGTGCTACCTTTTGGACTGCGGGGGGCCCTGCTGTTTTTATGCAATTAATTAATGAAGTTCTGCATGAGCACCTCTACAAAGGGGTTTTAGTTTACCTTGATGACATCTTAATCTACCCAGAAACCAAGGCAGAATACATTAAAGTAGTTAGAGCAGTATTGAGTAAGCTGTGCTCTGCTAAGCTATATGCCAAACTCTCCAAGTGTGAATTCAACAAGGATTGTATTGACTATTTGGGCTACCGCATTTCCAGTAAGGGTGTCGAAATGGACCCAGAAAAGGTACGAGCTGTGTTAGAGTGCCCCCCCTCATACCAGAAAGCAACTGCAAGGTGTTTTAGGTTTTACAAACTTCTACCGGTAGTTCATTCCTTCATTTGTGCAAATCGCACTCCCCATCACGAATCTATTAAAGATTAAGGGAGCAGACAAACCGAAACCCAGCCAACCACTGAAATGGACGGGAGAGTGTCAAGCCACATTCAAAAAGTTAAAGAGACTTTTCTCTGTGGAGCCGATTTTAAAGCAACTAGACCCAGAGAAAGCTTTTGTTATTCAGGTTGACGCTAGCGATGTGACCATAGTAGCTATCCTGCTCCAGAGGAATGAGGAAGACCAGCTGCAACTCTGTGCTTATACTTCTAAAAAACTCTCTGAAACTGAGCAGCAGTGGGCGGCCTGGGAGAAGGAAGCCTATGCTGTATGATGGGCCCTTCTAACCTGGAGACATTTCCTAGAGGGGAGCAAAATACCATTCCAAGTGTGGACTGATCATAAGAACCTGGAGGCGATGAAAACCTCTAGAAAGTTGTCCCCTAAACAAGCACGGTGGTCCGAAGATGTCCACTGTTTTAACTTTACAATCCATTACCTCCCTGGGTGGAGGAACTTCCTAGCAGATGCTCTATCTAGAATGCCACAATATAACAATGTTAAATCGAAAGTAATCGAGCTGTTTATGCCTCCTAAGC